ACAAGCTATATAATGTTGGTTTTTTTAAAATGTAAATTATTTCATTTATATATAAAAAAATATGATATTATCTTAGAGAGAACGAACGGGAACAAAAAGGGAATGGGTAATTCAAAAAAAAAAAATATCTAAACTATTTCTCATCAAAAACAAGCCTATACCAAAAATTTGGAAACTTAAATTTAATTTTAACTTTCAAATATCAAATGACGGGTATGATACAAGAATATGAAATTTTAATAGCAAAAGTAAGTTTCACTTAAAAATTTCAAATATTGGGATAAGAAATAACGGAAAGGGAACGGGTAATTTAGAAAATAAAAAATTATTATCTTAACTAATTCTAATAATATACAAAATGGAATTATGGGTAACGGGCAAGCAGAAGACATACTATTTATTCATGTGGGTGGACCAAAATATTTCAATTTGTTGTAGGACATGCATAGTGAACGGGTTTGACTGTCCTGATATCTATATTTATGTTATTTTATTCAAAAGTTTTAATGTTTTCATTAGTTTATGTGATGTGATAGTTCACAAATTTAATTGATTTCTAATTTATCAGTCATTTAGTTCACACTCGATCCGAGTCTTATATCATGTCAATTAAAATATTAGAAACTTTATGATAAACATAGTATTTGCAACCAATCCCGCACGTACGTGCGGGTGCATCCCTAGTATAATATATAAAATCAATCCCTACTATGATATAAATCAATTTAAAAATAAAATAAAATCGCGAACACAACCAACGTACGTTCTACTACTCACAATCACCATTCTTTGAACGACTTGACAATATTTTGTTCTCTATTATACAAGCATATAGTTCATGTGGCTAGCTAGCTATCCAGGGCTATCCTGTCTACTACACATAGATGATCGATCTAAATCTAATCATTTACTTAATTAATTAGAACACAATACTAATAAAACAATGTGCCTATATATATACATACGTATACTGCATTGGTTTCACAATTCGCCACAAGTTTGCATTTTCTATTCTCTCTAAAACCTTTAAGTATATAAAACCCCCTAAATATCAAACATGTCTCGCTTCGTGATCCTCTCCGTGACTCTCATCGTTTTCATAATCTACTTATCAAGCTTTTCGAGAACAGAAGCCACTCCGCCAGCCAGATACCAAAACTACAAAACGTACGTGAAAACGGCATGCAACTCGACAATATACCCTACAATGTGCTACAGCTCACTGTCCTCCTACTCCTCCACCATCAAGTCCGACCCACTCAAACTATGCACAACTTCGCTCAACCTCAACCTCAAATCCGCCAAAAACGCCTCATCAGTCATCTCTAACCTTCTTCTAAAGGCCAAAGCCGCCAAAAGCCGTGAGGTCCCTATCCTCAAGGACTGCTTGGACGAGATGAAGGACACCGTGGACGAGCTCAAGCAAGCGGTCGCCGAGATGAAGTATGTCAGAGGCGGAGGAAAAACTACGGAGGAGCATTTGAAGAACGTGAGGACGTGGGTGAGCTCGGCGTTGACCGACGAGAGCACGTGTACGGACGGATTCGAGGAAGGGAAAGTGAATGTAGAGACGAAGAAGAAGGTGAAGAAGGCTGTTTCCGAGCTTTCAAAGACAACAAGCAACACTTTAGCCCTTCTTACTCATTATTTAAGTTACTGATCGATTAACCATTATATATTTTCAACTTTCTCTTTGCGTAGCATGTGCATGTGTACGTTTTATTTTATTTTATATCATAATTAGTTATATAATTTCCAAGTTTTCACACCATGTACATGTTTACGAATTAATTGATTCGCAAATGTTTACACAAGAAAAATGTTTTAGAATATATGAGTTGTGGATCGTTTTGAAATGTTTCACACAAAAGTGTTAGAGATTTGAAGAATTTAATCAAAAACTCACCATTAAAAGGCTTTTGAATTTGTTAGTATTTTTTTATTTTTTTTGTTGTGACAATCGAATTTTGTAGTATTTATCCAAGAAACGTTACGTTAATTGTACTGAGAATCTTTCTAATTTAATAACGAAGCATCGTTGAGGTTAAAAGTAAGTACGTACCACCAATACTTTGGAAGAAGATTAATTAATATACTATTTTAGTATTACGTCTTCCGTGGCGTATTCTCATGGTACTATGGTCCCAAACTGTAACTATTGTTAATTTAGAGATAATTAGCAATGACAATCATAAAAATGAAGAGGATCGGACAAGATATGGTCCGACATTTCTTGACAAATGGGAGTTGACTGAGACATCATCATTTTTTGGATTTGGGTTTGTTAATAGATTTGTTTAGGGCCGATTATTTTTATTTTTGTCGATAATAAGGCCCATTAATCTATTTTGTTGTGGGATTTTATTTTATTCAGCCCATTTTGGGGAGAAAGTTATAAATAAAGAGATTCGTCCTCTAAAAATCCCCAAATGTCAACGTAGCTCTCTAAACCATGAATAATAATAATGATAACGCGGACACGCACTCTCCTGGGAAATCCCCCTTCAGCACGCATAACCTACGCACGCACTCTCCCGGGAAACTCCCCTTCGGCACGCATAGCCTACGATCGTTGTCTGACAGTACCATGAATAATGCGGACACGCACTCTCCCGGGAAACTCCCCTTTGCCACGATAAGCTCGTTGTCTGAGTGCAGTACCTTCCCGAAGGTAAAATCATCATCGTTATGGTCTCTTTTCATTTGATTTGATTCTCTTCTTATTAATGATTTTAAAATCGTGTTTAAAAAGCCCTAGATTCTGATTATCATATTTGTATCTCTCTCTTGTTGTGAACATAACGTGAATATATATATATATATATATATATATCATCAGTACTCTACCCGGCTGGATAAGGGAGAATTGCCGCGGGTAATCATCCTCTCCTTGTTGCTTCCTTTGTTTCATTCCCCTAATCTAATCTATTAATGTTATTGTTTCTTCACATATTTAGTTTTGGTTTTACCTACTTATATCTCTTTCTTTTGTACTGATTGTTTAGGTTTCCAATTTTGGGCTAAATGTCTCCTTTGAAAAACTACGAAAGTGGTAAATTGATTTATTACGCTCTTCTAGTTTCTTGTTGTTGGATCTTGTGTTAGGTTAATAGATAGTAATAAATTAAATGGTTTCGTGCAGTTGGGTTATTTGTGTTGAAGGATACGACTCCTCCCTTCCTGATGATGATATCAAGAAGGCCTTGAAAGATCACTTCGGCTCATGTGGAGCTATCCTTAGAGTTGACATGCCCGGATTCTTCAGGTTTTCGTTTCTCTTTCTTTCTATCATATCGTTCCTTTTAAGCTGGAACAAAACCATTTATATTATATATGTCTTTTTTTTTTTTTTAATTTTGTTAAAACAGTTTTGCTACTGTTATTATCATCGGAGATGATGCAAATGACAAGGGCTTGGAACTTAATGGAAGTGAGATGGGTGGACGGAAACTATCTGTTACTGTTGAGCCTTGGCCAGAGCCGAAAATATTGGATGTTCCCTATGGCGCCTTGTAAGATGACGGACGGAGGAGTTGAAACGCTCTGCTCTGCTCTTTGGTGTTTTCAGATCGTGATACAATGCAACTTTACCCTTTTGTTTCCTTCTTATAAGAATTGTTTGTGTGTGCCTACAATAATACAATGCAGCCCTCTGGGTCTTTTTTTCTTATGTTTTTCTTCTGGATGTTGTTTAAGTAAGCCCACTATGTATGTGTGTGTGTGAATGATTGACAAAAATTTACATTCCCTCTGATTTAGTCCCAACTTGGCTGACCAAAATGAAACAATAACAAGCCTGGCTTAAAAAGTTTCCTTGAGATTGCTTGTCACCTTTACTCATATATTAACTATATGCATATAGGCTGATTTCACCTTGGCTCATATATGTAAACTGCATACAGAGAATACTGGACCTGAGAGAGAGATTACCAGAAGCTGAGTTCTCTCTTTCAAAACAACCACTCTACTCATTTGGTTTTTCAACATTCTCATCATCGCTCTCTTTTTGTCTTCGCTTTCTCTATGCTTCTTCTCTCCACATCTCTATTCCAGTGACCATAATGGTGCCTTATTTATTTCGTTTTCATATCTGAAGCAGCTAGCTCTTGTTTTTTCTTCCTTTTTATACAGTTGTTAAGCACACAGCATATGATATATCAGGATTGTAAATTAAATAGGTGCACGGAGTACATACCTTTCTGCATGCAATATCGCATACGAGACTCTTCAATTGATTGATCAGCAAGATTCAAGAATCATCGGTTTGTTTTTTTCTTTTTCTTTGCATGCCTAATATTTTGTAGTTGTTCTTGTATTTCTTCATCAAGATCATGATAGAACATATATAAGCTCTCCGCACTGATGAGATGATATGCTATGTAAATGAATAAACATTTCAGTCACAAAAGGGCTTCATCCTATCCTGTTATCTCCTACCATAGTAATTCCGTTGGCACATACATGCCATCTAGTGATAGAAGCTGAAGGAAGTTGATAGAGACATTATCTTTTTTTGGATTTGTTTAGGGCCGATTATTTTTGTTTTGTCGATAATAAGGCCCATTAGTTTGTTGGTTTGTATTTGAGTTTTTATTTATTCAGCCCAATTTGGAAAAAAATATAAATAAATAGCTTCGTCCCTCTAATAAATCTCTTGTCAACGTTTCTCCATGAAGAACGCGAACACGCACTCTCCCGGGAAACTTCCCGACGGCATGGACAGTCTACGCTCGTTATATGGCAGTACCTTCCCGAAGGTATATTATCCTTATGGTCTCTCTTTGATTTGATTGATTCTCTAATTAAACGATAATATCTCCTTTGAGAAACTACGGAAGTGGTAAATTAAACTATGGGTGTGTTGGCAAACTATTACATTTTTGAAACATAATTGTAAAGTTAGTACATTTACTATTTATAATTAGCAAAATAGTACAATTTTACTATTTCAGATATCTGTATAGACATACAACTGTACAGTAACATATTATTGTAATCAAATATTTGTACAAAGAGAAACAACTACAAATAAACATATTTACACATAAACAAATATACATACATAGATCAGAAAATATCTGTACACATAAAATATACGTGTATATAGACCGCTGTACGGATGATTTTCCGTACACCGACACACAACTGTACATAAGGATAGCTGGACGTATCAAAATTTGTTTGAAAAAAATTTGAAATTATTAAAAAAAAATGCATATCAAATTATAGAGAAAAAAATATAGATTTTTATGTAATTAAAATTGTATAGAAAACAAATATATTTTGATGAATAGTTTAGTTATTGGATTTAAGGAGATTTTTAATAGTGTCTAAATAGTGTTTAAATAGTAAAAATGTATTAGTTTGCTAATAGTGAATGTACTACTTCTACAATTATGTTTCAAAAATGTACTAAAAATCCAATTAATCCTTAAACTATTATGCTCTTATAGCTTCGAGATTTGATTTATATATATGTTGATGTGCTATGTTAGCTATAATAATAATTGGTCTCCTGCAGTTGGATTATCTCTGTTGAAGGATGCGACTCCTCCCTTCCTGCGGATGATATCGACAAGGCCTTGAAAGATCACTTCGGTCCATGTGGAGCTATCGTTAAAGTTGAATTGCCCGGAGTCGTCTACAGGTCACTTTTGCTTTTTATTTCTCTGCGACAACCTTAATTAATTACCCTTTTTAAGGTAGAACAAATAAAACCAGTTAAAAAATGATGTCTTCTTTTTGTTGTTGTTGTTGTTTGTTAAAACTTAAAACAGTGATCATGCTTCTGTTATTATCCTCGGAGATGATGCAAATGACAAGGCCTTGGAACTTAATGGAAGTGAAATGGGAGGACAGAAACTAACTGTTACCGTTGAGCCTTGGCCAGAGGTGAAAATATTGGATGTTCCTTTTGGCGCCTTGTAAGATGGCCGACGGAGGAGTTGAAACGCTCTGCTCTGCTCTTCTCTTTGGTGTTTTCAGATCTTGTTACAATGCAACTTTACCCTCTTTTTATTTTATTTCTTTCTTTGATCGAATTTCATTGCATGCCTAATTTTTGTAGTTGTTCTTGTATTTCTTCATCAAGTTCATGGAATATATATAAGCTCTCTGCACTGATGAGAGATGATATATGCTATGTAAATGAATGAACATTTCATTCACAAAAGGGTTTCATTCTAGAAATGGTGATACTGGATACATGTAATCTTCTCTATGTTCTTTCGATTTAGCTTACTTAACATGTTCATATGTCTTAACACGCCACTCTAATTCCTTTCTGCTGCTTCAGAAATTGTATGCTCAAGAATTCCACACTGTCATGATATTCACCATGTGAGAGAGTTACATTTGTGTCATTACATTATTCACTTTTCTTGAATAACTTTTATAATTTATTGATGTGCTGATCACTAGCTAGGCTGATAAGCCATATGTGTTCATTCATAGTAGTTATTTACAAGGTGGACGGTATGATTGGGTTAATTTGTTTGGTTAGAGAGGTCCTAACTCCTAACGGTATGATTTGACAGTTAGGTATTACAGAGGATAGAGACGAAGAAGAAGGTGAAGAAGGCTGTTTCTTAGCTTTCAAAGACTACAACAAGCAACACTTTATCCCTTCTTACTCATTATTTAAGTTACTGATCGATTAACCATTATATATATTAATTCACCTCTCTCTCTTTGCATGTGCATGTGTATGTTTTCTTTTCTTTTATGTCATGATTAGTGATATAGTTTCCAAGTTTTCACACAATGTGTAATGTTTACGAATTAATTGATTCGCATACAGTACATGGGTACGTACGTGGCCATGATTAGGTTTACCGTTAAGCTTAATTAGATAGCATCTTTGCAAAATTACACACAATAAAAATGTTTTAGAATGTATAAGTTCTGGTCGTTTTGAAATGTTTCACAAAGGCTTTTGAAATTTGTAGTATTTTTTTTCAAGAAACGTTACTTGTTACGATAATCAGAATCTTTCTAAGTTAATAATAAAGCATCGATCGTATCGTTGAGGTTCAAGTACCAGTAGGAGAAAATTAATAATTTAGTACGTCTTTCGTGGCGTGTTCTCATGGTATATATAGTCCCAAATCGTGTAGCTATTGTGTTAATTCGAGATAATTAGCTTTGACATCATTAAAACGAAGAGGACAAGATATGGTCGGCTTTTTGAAGCAATATATTTCTTCTGTCTGAGAGCACTACGTAAGAAAAGTGTTATGCTTTAAATATTGGATTCAAAGTATTATATATAGTACCGAGGCTTTGAGTATTCAGTACTAAAGGGATCAACATGTCAGAATGATTCGTATTTCATAACCCAGGCCATGATGATCGGTTCCAGCTGCTAGACCATTTCCCATTGACCTTATGACTTTTTTCTTATCATATAAATGTGTAAATGGAGATACTTTTTCTTATGATTTGCACAAAGATAATGAATGTGCGCATGCATATAGCCATATACATTGATCCTTTTGCAAGTGTTCACATCTTGTCCAATTTTTTTTTATAAAGTTATTTTATTTAATAATTGAACCAGAGTTAATTAATTTTTTTTATTCTTTCTCTCAACCAAAGCTTGCCATATTCCAATATTTGAGATAGTCCATATATTTTTCCTATTTTGAAATACTGATAAAAATAAACACCAAATGCTTCAACTATGAAGACCCGTAGATAGAAAATACAACGACGCGGCAAGAAAAACTGAAATGACTCAGAACCAAACCAAAGCACATCTCTTCAAAACCAAATCCAAGGAAAAACTCTGTCCCCGAGACCAAACCGTTTTGAAATGTTTTCAATGCTTGGAAGCAAAGTCATTGATGAGAGCCAAGGCATTGCTCGTCTCTTCCGCCACACTCACAATGTGTGTTCTGATTAAGCTTTTCAGCTCCCCATCCATGGCTTTTCCTCCGAACCCGTCAAGACACGTGGTCTCATCCGTCAGAGCTGCGCTTGTCCACGTCCGGACATTGCTCAGACAGAACCAAAAGTCTTCTCCGCTGTCCCCTTCCTCCAGATGCTTCAGTTCCTTCAGCGACTTGCTCAACCTGTCAACAGTGTCTCCCATCTCCTCCACACAGTCCTCTACAGCCTCGTGCTGCCTCTTAGTTATTCCATTATAGTCAGTCATCCCTGACACATAAGTTTTGGCTGACTTTGCTCGGGCCATGCTTACGGCAAGCGCTGTCTCAGCAAGTTTACGTGGCTGCTGCTTGATCTCGCTTGCATATGAAGACAGAGACTGGAAGCATCTCTCCGGATATGACGTTGTCTCACAAGAGGCTTTAATAAACTCTGTATCACCACCACTTGCTTCCTCTCCAAGGTTTCTGGCCATGGTTATTGCTGCAGTGGAGAGAAACAGAACAAAGAGAATCAAAGAAAGCTCAATCCTTCTTGCCATTTTTGAATTTAACAACTAAAAGTGGGAGTAACAGTAAAAGGGTTCAGGAATTTATAGAGATAAGACTAATGAATGTGTGAATGCAGATAGATACATTGATCCTTAAATCCTTTGCACAAAAAGCAATATATATCTATTTTAAGAGAAAAAAAATGGGAGTTGGTTGAAATATCAATAAATGTGCAGCAATGTGAATACCAATAACAGAGGATAAGAGCTGTAAACTGTTTGTCTTCATCTCCGACATATTTGGATCCTAGCTTTCTAAACATTGCAACTGGTGGGTCCTAATACACGTGACCAATGACTAAACCCATGTGACTGAACCATATGAAGCACTGGTCACGAGAAGGAGCTTATCAATTGAATAATGCAGAGGAAAAAAGTATAATTCTAGTGATGACCCTGGTTTAAGTCAAATCTTATAGAAGACATCCCACGAGAATCTACGAAGCCGAAATCATTTCTAACAGCTAACCAATCAGACGCGTTCACACAGGTCATGTGATCTTTTTTCTCTATGAACAAACAAGTCCCACCTTTGTGTGTAAAAGATCACTCAATACACTATGACATCACATGGGGATGATTTACGAAGATAAACTTGTACGTACCTGTTAAGTAGAACCAGTTTATGTCTCTAATCCTCGATCCACCATCATCTGCCTTACTCTCTCAACATCCTCTGCTCTCTTCGCCTTACTATAAATTCTCATCAACAGTTCGAAATTGTGTTCGTTATCAGGTTCCAACTCGAAAAGATGTTGAGCAGCAACCTCTCCTATATCTGCATTGCCATGGAGATAACAAGCGTATAACAACGCTCCCCAAACAGTTGGACCAGCCTCAAACCCCATCTCTTGAACAATCATTGAGTAAGCCTCTTCCACCATCCCTGCTCTTCCGTAGAGATTCACCATACATGCATAATGTTCCATCTTCGGGTCTATCCCGTACTCCTTCGACATCAGAGAGAACAGTCTCTCTCCAACTTGGATCATTCCTGTATTAGCACATATAGATAGAACCGAGACAAACGTGATACCATCAAGTCTAGCATTAGCACGCTGCATTTGCTCAAAATATTTTAAACCATTGGAATCTTTAGAATGAGCAGAGAGAATAGCATTCCAAGATACGGTGTCTCTCTCGGGCATCTGATCGAATATGAAGCAGGCTTGACCCAATTGTCCCCTTTTGGAGTAAAAAACAATCAAAGCATTCGCAACCGATAACTCCCACTCTATTCCTCGCCTAATTACCCATCCATGTAACTGACGCCCATGCTTGAAAGACAAAACACGAGCCAGAACACTGGAGATAGCAACCTTATCAGGCTCAATCCCATCTTGAACCATTAGACGAAAAATGTCCAACGCCTCAAGTAATAATCCGTGATGAAGGTAACCAGTTAACATGGAGTTCCAGGAAACATAGTCTTTGTGAGGAATCATATCAAATACATTCCTTCCTTTAACAATATCCCCACATTTTGCATACATATCAACAAGAGCATTTAGCACATAGACATCGTATCCGAAACCTGCCTTAACCAAATCACGATGAATTGCATCTCCAATCTGAATAGACCCAATTCCTGCACAAGCTTTTAAGACGCGTGGGAAAGTGAACCGGTCTGGTTTGACCCCGTCTTCAGCCATCTGAAAGTAGAGAGCCAAAGCATCTTCGTACTGACCCAATTCCGCGTAGCCTGATATAAGAGAGTTCCAAGCGAAAGGCGACAATTCTCTCTTAGACATTCGATCGAACACCTCGTGTGCAACCTCCGTGTAGCCACAAGACGCATAGAGCCTAACAAGCTTCGATGAAATCCCCAGGTTATTGCGCAAGAGGTAGGGAGGTATAAGGTGATGAACTCTAACGCCATGGTCAATGGCTCTTAAGCTGTAGCAAGTCTCGAGAAGAGAAGCGAAAATCTCAGGTTCGCTGAACGAGATACCTTTCTGAGCGGAGGTTTCGAGGTCTGTAATGACGGAGTCTAAAGCTTCGAGTTTGGTCCGGTGAATTGATTGTTTTCCGATCAAGATTGGAGTGGGAGATGGTTTGGTGAAAGAGAGGGAAGTGAATCCGTTGTTATCATATTGATTTTGTCTTTGTTGCTTCAACTGTTGGTGATGTCTGGGTTTCTTTTTCATTGAAGAAGACGATACAGATGGATAAGAGAAGCTTGGTTTGTGTACAACGATGCTCACCATATTCTCTTTTCTTAATTTTTCTTTCGATAAATAAATATGGAGGGAAGCAGAGAGCTTATGTAAAATATATATATTAATAGATGTTAATAAAAGTTACATTTTCTTTGTTTTTCTTTTGAACCTTATGATGATGATAGTACAAACAAAACGATGCAATGCGTATTTGCATAGTGCATCAAAAATTCAAGAGTAGTGAACAAATTTTCAGGAAGAATTTTCTACCAAACTTGAACCGATAGTGGACTTTTGAATTACATGCCGACTCTCCTTTTTCAATTGCTGCACATAAGAAATTGCAGGTGTTAATACAAATCTTGGTCTACACCAAAACATTGATTGATCTATGCATAGAAGTTTTATCTAAACATATGCCTCATGTCCACATGATGCAAACAAGTAACACTGTATTTTTGAACTGAAATGCAGAGAGAGGGAGAGCAAATGTATACCTCAAATGAACTGAAAATAGGTAGAACGTGTTGTTGGAATATGTCATCTACTGTTCCTACTGCATTAATCTGCACCAAAGATGAAATAAAATCAAATATTTATAAGGCATTTAAATCAAACATTATCAACAGCTTCTCCAACCAAAATATCAACTAAAGAAAATGAAGATGGATGAGTTTTTTTAAATGTTTGCAAAATAACTCACAGTGTAAAGTTTTCCTTTATTTTTGTAGTAGTCAATAACAGGACGATTCAAGCCGTTAAAGATTTTCAGACGCTTCTTCATTGTAGTTATATTATCATCAATCCGGCCCTGTAAACAGCAAGGAATTTGGTTTCATGGTACTGTTAACTGAGTAATATTACAAGGGAAGTATGTAAAATAGAGACCTGATTACGGTTCAAGACGCGTGTCACCATCTCTTCTTCGGGGCAATCGAAGAACAGTACGACATCAGGGTCTGCTCTTATCTGCAATAGTATCAAGGAGCTATTTCATGTTCAAAGATTTGTTTCAAGAGTAGAGGGAGAACAGACTGAGAAGATACTCACTATGCGCTCAAATGCAACGCGGTTCTCCTCAGTTCGTGGAAAACCATCAATGAGAAACTTGCGACTGTCACTGGATTCCAGCTCTCTCTGTATTAGTTTGACTGTAACTTCTGAGGGAACAATTTTCCCATCTTTAATCAAGTTCAGAATCATATCCCTGAAAATGAGATCCCTTCATCATGAGACGGATAACAACAAACTTTTGAATACACTAGGAAATATCAAAAGTTCACCGTTCCTACCCATTTTTAGTGTTCATTGCAATTTCTCTCCTGAGCAAATCTCCAGCACTAAGATGTTGTAAACCAAAAGTCTCAACGATCTTTTCGCATTGTGTGCCTTTTCCACTTCCAGGACCTCCTGAGATAGTTCAGATCCATCAGAGCAAATTCAAATTCTATTTAGTATCACACTTCATATGAATGGAAAAGATAGATAATGTGGCCCTTGATTAAAACAACACGGGAGCTTATCAGCATCAAATAGAAACCAAGATAGATCCAACTCCTAGGTTCCAACATTATCAAACACCAGAATCGAAAACTTACCTAGTACAAATGTAATGAACGGAGCTTTCTCTTTCGGCGGCAAATCTCGTTCTTCCTGTGACAAATAATAAACACAATCAACGGCGAACAAGACAAAAACAAATTGATCAAGCTTTTCCTGATTTTATGTACCGGATTAACTGCGTCTGTTGCAAAAGATTCCCCAACTTTGAGACCAAAAGCTGCCTAGAACAATGAAGAAATAAGTAAAATGGAACTGAGTCAAAACCACAAAATCAAAAGAGGAAACAAGACAACGATTCTGAGCGCAATCGCGAATGAGAATCGAACCTGGTTGAGCGTAAGGGATCTCGATGATGATGAAGAAATCATCGGAGAAAGTAAAGCCACGCGTCTCCACATCTTCTTCTTCTTCTTCTTCCTTCACTTGTCTGCGATTTTCCTTTCTTTCAGGTTTCGATTTTGGATTTTTTCAGATTACAGCAAAATAAATTATGTCGTCGGGAAACGGATCACGGAGAATATAATAATGTAAGAAGCAGTGCGCCAAATTAATTCTTCTTCAACGTTGTTCACATCTCGCGACACCGTTTTGGTGGGATTTGTGTTTTGTATTTCAGCTTTTAAGCGACCTGCGAATATTTATTAAGCAAAAAAAAAACTTAGGAATAGGTCAAAAACTGAATAATAAGTAAATGACTCAGATAAAAAGTAAATGAGCAGTTTTCCATTTAAGGACGCAAACGCTGTGTCGTTATGCCCTACCAAAAACAGCACGTGCTCCACCCGAGAGTTTTGGCTTCAAGCCTTCCTATACTGTATATACGATACCAATTACCACATGGCATGGGGCAGAGATGGACTAATTTGGGATGGGATGGGACAAGACTGGACACAAGCTAAATGCATGTTTTAAACAAATTTCTATCACAAAGACGATACACAACATGTTAAAAGTTCTAATAATATACAAACCAACAAACAATAGATAGTGAGATGACGTCCAAATAATCAAATCAGAACATACAAAACGTGTAATAAACAAATATCTTCATAAATATAATAAACAAAGTATAGTCGGAAAGGAAAATGACGGCTCCTGTATAATCGGCTTAACTAGTCATGTTTCTTGCATTTGGATTGATGACATCTATGACTATGTCTTGTTTGTTGACACAACCAAACTATTCCTGCCAACCAAATCCTCACTTTTGTTTATTATTCTGTGGTAAAGTTGATGGGGTGATGAGGAGGCTTTGTAGTTCTTGTTCATCATTATTGACCTTCACTATCCATTCGCAAATAATCGAATTTACCTCCTCTGGGATCTCATCGTGGGGACAGTGACCTGTACTTGCAAAATGAGACTTTAAAGAATCAAGAAGAATGATATAAACTAGTGAAGATATGTAGGATGCAATTTGTTTTTTATACCTGCATTAACTTTCTCAATCACCATAGCTGGACAGTACTCCTTCAGTAAGGCTACTTTCTTCTTCGGATCCGATATGGGATCTTTCATTCCCTAATACATGAATAAAACAAATGGATATTGATCCAGAGTAATCCCTAATAGAAGTTAGATTGAGAATCCAATAAATGTTTGAAAATCTTGATACCTGTATTACAAGAGTTTTTTCCTCAAACCCTTTGAGGAGATAATTCAAAGGAAGCGAAAGATCAAAGCCAAAGATACTTTCCAGGACCATAACCACACCAGGGTCTTGGGACTATTGTGTATTTTAAGGTAATGTCACAATCATCTATATTTACTTGTTGATCATGAATCAATCAATGAAATTAAAATGCAAAAACAAAAAAGGATACTGCTCTTAGCATTTCAGCGATGAGAAAATCATCAGCTCTCTCAGGATTCTGCATCATAAACAAGCAGTTGGGTTAGAACCCCGCATAATGACATGACCATTTCATACTTTCTTTCATACTGATGTCAAAAACGTCATAATACTTTACTTACAACTGGATAACAATCCTTTAATAGCTTCTTGACATTGAGTTGCAGGAAAAATAGAAGAAGTCGAGCACCCAGTTTTGCACCAAATGGAACTCGCCTTTCCTGGAAAAAGAAACCGTTAGGATGTGTGCAGTAAGTATATAATAACTTCTGTGTTTCAAAAAGTAAATCTAAAACTGTTAGATATTCATGTATTCAAATGATACATACTCTAGAGACTGGGAGAGGAGAGTATCCAGGTACCACATTGCCGGCACTGTTAATAAGGACAACGGACTTAACCAAGGCCGGCCAAAGGAAGGCCGTTAATGCAACGAAATACCCTGATAAAGAGGTAAAACATACAGACTCAATTAAATGTGTATTATGAAACTTTGAGCCCTTTTTACGCAAACACTACAGCCCCATGACTTAGGGTGCATACCACCGATTGAGTTTCCTACGCAGTGTGCTGGTTCGCCAACTACCTCAATCATAAAATCCCGCAGCAATTCAGCCCACAAAAGCTCGGTGTATATGATATTTGGCTTCTCTGATTTTCCAAAACCCAGAATTGTGATGGTCCATACTCGGTTTTTTCTATTTACGATGTTGTCTGCATTATCACGGTAATGCTCTAGAAAAGCACCAAAGCCATGCACAAGAAGAACAGCAGGGCCTTCATTGCCAGCCACTGTGTACTGAAACAAAGAAGTGATTCCTGTTTTAAATTCCATAAACAAATATAAACAGATCAAGAAGTGCGATTACAAAACTGACCAAAGTAGGCCGTTTGGAGAAATATGAGTAATAACAGAAACCTGAATAAGATATCCCTTCCATCTCCAAATCCTTATAGCGTGTCTTTTTTCATCAGTCCGCTCTCTATTTAGAGCCACAAGAGAATACCACTGCCAAAACAAATCAAACAGCTTCAAATACTTTAATAAAGAAAGTAAGAGCATAGAGATATTATTTATGTGAGTGTTTATACCTCCATAGAGCACACAGCATCAGTTGCAGAAGCCACTGTAGCAGCTGAATATCCAAAGGGAGAAATAAATCCAGCATTCCTTTCTTTTTCATACTCGGTTGCTTCATAGTGAACCCTTCTTCTTGATACGATACCAAGACAAAAGACAGGTCCAAAAAGTTTGAAAAATGAAGCTCCCGGCCTAATTTCGGCATCACGAAGTCTTGCATGAACCCTGGTCAGTATAAAAGCCAGTGCCAATCACTCCTCAACATGACATAACATCAAAAATTTCAGAATTAAGAATGCCCACGTACTCTTGCCAGTCATCTCGACTTGTACCCTCCAAGTATCTCAAGTATCCTGCTAGAGCATTCAGTACAACCTCAGTTCCACCTGCAACCGTATCTCTTTTTCTTGTGACAAATGCAGAGTTGTGAACCCTCTTCCCTAAACTTCCATCAATAATTGGATCCATACTGCTCCCCTTGAAGTTTCCAGTCCTTTCCACTAATACTTTTTCAGAAGATGCAAGTGCCATTTCTCTCCAGCTAATTTCTTTTTCGCACAAGTTTTCCTTCATATAGTCTTTCAGATCATCGAGTGTTGGTACAGAACCTGAAGCATGTTTCATTTACAATTTCTCCTAGCGTTAAAAGAGTTTTGAATCAGATATCTAAAGAAAGTAAGAAACTACTAAAGCACGAGATCCAACTCCATGGCTTGTGAAGAAAAGCTTACCCCACTGCAGTTCACTTTCTGGAGATGAAAATCTTGCTGCAGGAACTGGCAAACTGATGGGCAGCTTTAGTTTCTTAAAATTTTTCCAAGATTGTGGTAGATCCGTCAAATTCTGGAGGGTCAAAAAGGTGCACGTAAGTAACTGGTTCTGAATCTCAATGCAGAAATTGTTGCAAGAGAAGCAAATTCATTACTAGGCTCTCATAAAAAGGAGTCCGCCAAAGAACAACCCTCGGTGGTCCTCCAGGAAAAGAAACACCTTCCAAATTTTTCTTAACACCGTCCAAAACCTCACAGAGATGGTATTCTACCTCTTCTTCCACAAAGACAAAGGGAGCTCGTACCTGTTGCAGCCCAATACATGTTTTGGCACAGAGTTATCTCGCCTGAAAAAAATTGTGGAAAAGCTTAATTATACCCGTGAAATTACCTCTTTGACAAGCTCTTCAATGACATTTTCTGCTTCTCCATATCTGAGCATAAGATTTGATCCTTGCTTCTTCAAGGATTTTCTTAATTCTTCCAAGGCTATAATAGCTAACTCTAAAGTGTCCGTTGTGTATCCTAGACATAGATTAGATGTTGGATTAGATACCCAATCAAGTGACGCTTGGAAATGGAGGATTCTGCCAATGGGAATCTAGCTACTTAACCTATGCAAAACCATTACACTCTCCTACAAGACAAAACGAAGCATCTGGAGAATACTATAGAAAACCCGCATTGAGCTCAGGCGAAGAGCAAGAAATAATCGAAATATATGGACTGTATAAATGAACTTACGCGATAGAACACGGCGATCGAGAACGTAGAGAGGTATGACAGTCTTATGCTTGGACGCAGCGAGGAGGCCAGGATGGTCATCAACACGGAGGTCATGCTTAAACCACACAACCGCCGTGGAACTTTCATTAGTTACCGAAGACAAACAACATTTGCATCGGTTCCTCCGATGATTCCGCCGGAGACGGTGAGGCAGGAAATGCAGGTGAGCGAGCGACGCCATGAGGACGACCGAGGAAAACCAGAATCACTGGATTAGTAGTTTCCATGAACTCAAAAGCAGTGAGAGAGAGGAAGCAATTGTTGTGGTTGTGGTACAGACTGAAGAAGACTCGTTCAAATCTGTGGTCCACAGAGAAAGTTGTACTTGTCCAATCATTTCCCAGAAAACGGCGTCGTTTTGTGTCGACAGAGTCGAGGCCAAAAAAAAGCACAACAGTGTTGACTGAAACAAAACACACTTGCTAGATGAATTAAGAAAATTAAAAATATTTTCCATATGTTAAAACCAATAGTCTTCATTAGATATAAGGTTATCTAAAGTTTCTTTATCTTTCAAGAAGCAACGGTCATGGAAGGCAAAGGAGCAACCCGGAGCTCTCTCATAGTTCCTTCTGTTTAAGAAATGGTGGAGGAGAAGATGATCACTGCGGTTCCTCCGAGGTATGTACGGTCTGATCAAGACAAAGTTGAGATCTCCAGTGAAACTGGTCTATTGGTATAATTCGGGACCCCAGATATATTTAATCCATTTTAGAACACATCATATCCATCTAAATGAGACTAATCAGGTGGGGATTTTTTCAGGCGAGTCTCAAGCTACATTGTTTTTTTATATAACAGAATTGCCCTGCAAAAACTCAGTTCTTTACAAAACAATCCCTCTTTTTGTGTTTTTATATTTTTGAACCCCCTATATAAGATTGATCGTTGTGGCATTTCTTTATGACTGACTTATCTAACAGCTTGTAAACCATGGAATGGACTCAACTTTCTTGGAAAAATTCAAGTCGGAGATTCAGGATTTTTTCAACCTTCCCATGGAAGAGAAGAAGAAGTTGTGGCAACAGCCCGATGACATCGAAGGATTTGGACAAGTATTTGTGGTTTCAGAAGAGCAGAAACTCGACTGGTCAGATATGTTCTTCCTTACAATGCAACCTGTTCAATTACGCAAGCCTCACTTGTTCCCCAACTTACCTCTTCCCTTTAGGTTTGCCTCAAATCTGTAAAACCATTCTTACTTAAACTCCACAAGTATTCTCTGCGTAAAGTTTGCTTATTGTTTCTTCAGAGAAACACTAGACACGTATTCGGCTGAAGTGAAAAGCATAGCTAAGATCCTACTGGCGAAAGTAGCTGTAGCACTGAAGATCAAACCCGAGGAAATGGAAGAGTTGTTTGATGATGAGTTAGGGCAGAGAATCAGGCTGAATTACTACCCTCCTTGTCCAGAGCCAGATAACGTTATTGGTGTAACTCCGCATTCTGATTCTACAGGACTCACCATACTGTTGCAGGTTAATGAAGTTGATGGTCTCCAAATCAAGAAAAATGGCAAATGGGTTTCTGTCAAACCTCTCCCAAATGCTTTTGTTGTCAACATCGGAGACATCTTAGAGGTAAGTTATAAGGACAAGAGAGCCTATTCTTGATATCATTGTAAAAATGGTTCTGATGATTGGTAATCAACGTAGATCATAACGAATGGGACATACCGGAGTATAGAGCATCGCGGAGTTGTGAACTCAGAGAAAGAGAGGCTTTCTGTGGCATCATTCCACAGTATGGGATTTGGTAAAGTTATTGGTCCGATGAGAAGTCTCGTGGAAAGGCATGAGGCTGCAATTTTCAAAAGTGTAACCACTGAGGAGTATTTCAATGGCTTGTTCTCCCGTGCACTTGATGGAAAAGCTTACCTCGATGTTATGAGAGTCTAAAGGAAGCAATGAATAATACTATCAGCTTCTTCTCTGTTTTCCTACTTTCTACAAATACGCAATCCCTCTTTCTCACCTTCAATGGCCAATAAATAACGTTTTTGCTTCATCGCATTAGTGTTGCTAAAGCCCTATCTAATTATAATAACAGTTAACACAGACGCTCAGGAAAGCAACTGTTAGTGCATCATCATTCCCTAAAACGGCTTCGAATACATCCTTTTAAAGGAAATTGCAGAAAATTCCTTGGCCTAGTGGTAGACTCTGATCATATAAAAAAGCATTGGTCTATTTCTAATATATTGAACATAATCAATAATAAGGTACCTTTCTGTTAATACTTAATAGCTGTAAGATTTTATTTAGCAATGCATCATTCTCTGTTGTTACCAATCAACCAAATACATCCACAATCCAATAAATGATCTTAAAGCATATCTCCATCTTTCGAGGTGCATTTCTTTGGAGATTGAGGTATAACTTAAGTTTGCTAAAAATGTTCAAGGTAACCGATGAGAAAAAGCTTTTTCTATCCGGCAGAATAACCTGCAGACATCAAGTTTCTTGGAAGTAAAAATCTCCATCAAGAATGGAACAAATGAAACTGTACCTTCTAACAATTTGGATCCTCCAAATGCCCAAAAGTCTCATTCCAATGACTTGAAGCTTCTTCCTGTGTTCGCATAATCCAAATATGTTTTGCCGCATCTGCCATCTCCTTCTCTTCTAGAATTTTCTGCAATTGTCAGGCCTTAAATATTGTGGAACATAACAGACACATAAACTACATAAAGTATAATTATCTTTTTCCGCAAATATAGAATTGATGCAGAACATAAGAGCTACACCAAGTTTAACCGAACTTGAATCATATATTAAAAGAAATGTGATTCACATAACTCCAAATCATGATTATTTGAGATAAGCTAGTCTATGTGATATCTACTAGATGGTCTAATATCCTCTAGAGTAGACAAATGTAATGAAGAATGAATAAACTGGATGATAAAAGAAATAAAAATACAAACCTCGGCTTCAGAAACTCTTTTTGTCTTTAAGGAAAGACAATCAAAGAGATCAGAGAACTTCTTAGTACAATCATCAAGTCTGCCAACCCGGTAATACTGCTGCATTTGGTAAAATGGTGCTGCAAAGAGATTATCTGAGTTAATCTATGAAATTCGATGTCAAAAGGAGAAAAAATGAATAGCTTACGTCAATGGAGCAAGAGAACATTATAGATGAAGTAAATGCAGCACAAACAGCAGAAACATAACTTAACAGAGAAGAGAGCATACAAGAAAATTCCAAGGGTTTAGTGAGTAAGATGTTCTTTCCTAAAAGGCGAAACATTTGTCGAATTTTCCCCCTAGCGTATTCAAGAAACAAGTAAGTGATGCCATTTTTTAAGACTATGCTATTGTTTTGTACTCAACCTTGTCCTGTCTCATCGCCATTGCTGGTTATGTTGGACCATCTAGACATCCCTTCAACAAAACATACATTGAGAATATGGTTTCAGAGATCCTTTGATGGTGAAAAGCTATATCATTTCTAAACTCTGACCAAGGTTCTCTATTCTATTAACAGGCAAAACAAGCTCGTAAACTACAAAATAGTCGTTGACGAAGAGCTCAATACCGAAAAGAACATTCAAAGGAAAGATTTTTTACTTAAGGGTTGGATCAAATCTCAATGAAGTTCAAATTTTGGGATGCCCAGGAGGGAATAATTTTCCAATTGGAACCAGCAGCAGACCGAAGATGCAGAATCATAAAATGCGATCAGATGAGAGGAAACGAAGACTTACAGTAGCAGAACCAGAGAGCGTCGAAGCTTTTGGTGCAGGACACGCGCCGTCGCACAGCTGAAGAGTCTTCGTTCTCGGAGCTCATCGTGCGGCTGCTCAGTCCGGGAAGAAGAAACGGGTCAGGTGTTGTTGTATTCGGGTTAAGATTTAGGGGTTTTCGCCAACCAAAATAAAATAAAAATAGATTATACGCATAAACAATAAAATAATTTTGATAACTTACTACAAACAAAATAATGGATAATTTGATACTATAATTTTCAATAACAATAATTTTTAATAAATATAATTTAAAATTAAAAAAAAAATCAAATTTTTATACTACTTAATACACAGTTAAAAAAAGATCAGCAGCATTATATATATATATATATATATATTTCTAGCTCGAATAAAATAAAAGGCGACGAGTAATATACATAATTTCCTTTAATAGTAACATTTTTATTATTTTATGAGCTTTTTACTAAACCTAGATGTTTGAAGAAAGTTGATCAATGTTGTAGTCATTTAGAACAGAAAACTTGGTTTATGGTATTTTACGATAATTTTCATTCCAAACTATTGAGCACATGTATGTCTATATCGATAATGTTTCAATATACAAGTGTAATATACTAATATGTGATTGACATGTAATATACTTGAGTAACAGATGAAAAAAATACAAAAAAAAAAGTACTTGTGTATGCTAAAACAAAAGCTAACATGAATACTTTGGCAAATGACAATTTAGATTTGAAGAAGAAAACTTTTAGGAGGATTGTGATAGCTATTAGCTAGTCCCGTGTAAACAACTGGAGAGAACGCGGTTCCTATTCCTATCATAATGATCTTATCTATAAAAGCCAAACGTGCGATGATTCATAGAGACATGTGAAAATATGGATTCTGACACGACAGTCCCGGTCCGTAAGAAGAACCAGTGAGACCAGAGTTTGTGGGAGTTAGGGAGGAATATTTAGTCAAAAGGTTCATTGTTTTAGTCAACGTGATTAGGACTAAAAAAAGTGAGATACAACATATGTATCAATATTATGTCTCTATCGTTTAATGTTACTGTATAATAAGCAAATTGGCATGGCTCAAACGTTACGTTAGCTCCTTTGCTTTACAGCTTTTTTTTTTTTTTTTTTTCCTATTATAATATCCCAAAAAAAGATTTACTTACTATATACAAAATCATTTTAGTTGACCAGAAAAAACAAATACAAAAACCATTTGTTTGGTCCCTAACCAAAAATTACAAATCTAATTTAGCTTAATGCTAATACTAATATCAATCAAACAAACCGGAACAGTTCTCTCCTCCTTAACCAAGTAATTAATAATTCGAATTAAGTCTTTGATTTTTTATTTATTTATTCAAATCTACAGTTACATTTCCCCTAATTTCTCTCTCTCTATCTCTCTTTCTTTTTCTACATATAATAAACTTATATATATTATCCCAAAAAAAAATTAATTTTGTTTTCTCTTTCCATTTCTTGCCAAAACCCTAATTTCACCCTCACTCGTTAAGAAATTTTCTCCCCCAACTTAAACCACCCCTTAGAAAAAAAAAAAAAAAACAAAAAAAAAAAACAGAAAAAGAAAAATTAGATCTTTCTTCTTTGCTTATAATTATGTTTGTTTTAGCTCGAATTTTCTGAAATTAAGATTCATTCCTCCATGGAAGCTCTGTTTTTTTTCTCTGCTAATTAGCTTCTATTGATCTGTTTTATTTTGCAGCTCCTCTTCCTCCTTCTTCCACCATTTTTTTAAAAAAACTCCTTTCAAAATCTCATCTTTCGTGTTTTCTCACTACTCTGAATCTTGTTGAACTTCAAGAAACACATCTTGAATCTTGCGTGATCATAAAAGATTCGAAAGGGGATCTCTCTGGGCTCTACTGATTTGTCGGAATCTTTCCCTACAGAACCACTTGATCTTATGTGCGGATGGAGGAGAGAGAAGGAACCAACAATAACAACAATAACATCACTAGCGGTTTCGGCTTGAAGCAACATGAAGCTGCTTCTGATGGTGGTGGTGGTTACTCCATGGACCCACCACCACGACCCGATAACCCTAACCCGTTTTTGGGCCAACCCACCACTGTCTCCTCCGCCGCCACCTCCGTATCAGCTGCCGTTTCTGAGAATGCGGCTCCTCCTTTCAGCTTAACAATGCCGGCGGAGAACGCTTCCTCTGAGCAGCTGAAAAAGAGGAGAGGTAGGCCGAGAAAGTATAATCCCGATGGGACTCTCGCCGTGACTCTTTCGCCGATGCCAATCTCGTCCTCCGTTCCGTTGTCGTCGGAGTTCCCTCCAAGGAAACGAGGAAGAGGACGTGGCAAGTCTAATCGATGGCTCAAGAAGTCTCAGATGTTCCAATTCGACAGGAGTCCTGGTAAAATGTCTCTTTGGAATCTTCGATTGCTGTCTGTTAATGATTACATGTGTAGCAGTTTTGTTAGTTTTGCGACTCATCTGGATCTATGCGGGTTTTGACTTCTACGATGTTGGTAACTTTTGTGTCAGAAGTCATAAGCTAGTGATATTAAACAAAAAGGCTATATCTTTAGGGGGAAGTAGATTACGATATGCGTATCACGACATTTCCCAAAGAGAAATCATCATCTCGTGTTTGTTTGCTTTATAGACCAAAAAGTTCATACTTGTTTTGTGTCTCTGCCTGTGTAAGTCTTAATGTTTTGTTGTCGCAGCTTTAATATTGACATCTCTGGATTCAGTTGATACCAGTTTCGCAGGTGTAGGAAGTGCAGATTTTGTTGGTGCCAACTTTACACCTCATGTGCTGACCGTCAACGCTGGAGAGGTATGTTCTTTTCTTCTGAATATTCATTGGTGATATGATCATATAATCTCAAAATTGTTAAGCTGATCTCTTGACATTTGGATTTGTGCAGGATGTGACGATGAAGATAATGACATTCTCTCAGCAAGGATCTCGTGCTATCTGCATCCTTTCAGCTAATGGTCCTATCTCCAATGTTACGCTTCGTCAGTCTACTACATCCGGCGGTACTCTAACTTATGAGGTCCAGATGCTCTCTTCTCTCTTATCTCTGTGTTTGGTTTCCTTGAAACGTTTTTTGAGCTGTATTTTGTCGTGATCAGGGTCGTTTCGAGATTCTCTCTTTAACTGGTTCGTTTATGCAAAATGACTCTGGAGGAACACGAAGTAGAGCTGGTGGTATGAGTGTTTGCCTCGCAGGACCAGATGGTCGCGTCTTTGGTGGAGGACTCGCTGGTCTATTTCTTGCTGCCGGTCCTGTCCAGGTGAGTTCAAATTAACACCGATCTTGTGTGGTCTCGGAGCATGAGTATCGTGTGTCTGACATCTGTACACGACAGGTAATGGTAGGGACTTTTATAGCGGGTCAAGAACAGTCACAGCTGGAGCTAGCAAAAGAGAGACGGCAAAGATTCGGATCTCAACCATCTTCAATATCCTTTAACATCACAGCAGAAGAGAGGAAGGCGAGATTCGAGAGGCTTAACAAGTCTGTTGCCATTCCTGCACCAACTAGTTCATACACGCATGCAAACACAACGAATGCGGTTCACAGTTACTACACAAACTCGGTTAACCACGTCAAGGATCCCTTCACTTCCATCCCAGTAGGAGCAGCAGGAGTAGGAGGAGATGGAGGAGAAGAGGAGGGAGAGGAAGACGAAGAAGAAGAAGATGATGAATTAGAAGGTGAGGAGGAAGACTTTGGAGGCGATAGCCAATCTGACAACGAGATACCAAGCTGATGATGATCTTAGTACGGTTTCTTTTTCACGGATTTGTTAGGGTGATGGGGTTTCAGATTTTGGTTTGATTGTTTTATTAACACAGAATGTTTAGAAGCTCTCTGCTATCTTTAGGTTATCTCTCCTCTTGTGATTGTTGTAGTATCCATCATGTTAGAAACAAACTTTACGATTGCAAAACTCTCTTTCAAGAAAGTTATCACTTTATTTCTAAATAGATACACTGTGTTTGTACTTCTCTCGAAATGATGTATAAGTACTGTAAACTAGAGTTATATATCACACTGAAATACATTATGGTTAAGTTAAAGACCGGGTTTGAATGAGTTGGTTGAGTTAATTCGGTGATTAGTAATTTAGTGGTAACTTCCCACTAACTCATGTTAACTTCCCCACTAACTCAAATTTCTTTTTTACTCTCACCCATCAACTCCCATGTTAGTTTTTCTTTTTTCATTGCAGAATGTTAGATTTACAAAGAACTTGAGAGAAAAAAAAAGTTTTCGTAACATTAATCAAAAGGGCCTTTACATGGTGAGACAAGTCACAAGTAGTTTGTGTTTGTTTGTGATTTCTTTCGCAAATTCTTTTTCGGTGAATTCTTGACAGGTTATAGTATCACTAAAGCGTAGATAAGGTATGAAATCTTGATTTTAAGGCTTTTCGTATTATCTAACTTACATTGCAATACGATGCTTTGAATTTGGTTCCGGCATGTGTTGTCATTACTCATTACTAACATGGTTTGGAATATCGTTCATTGAATCTTTGTTCAATCGCTCTCAATGTCTCATTTCATTTCCGTGAAAGTTTCGCAACATAGACCTATATAGGCTAAAAGTCTCACTAAACATACTAGTTAAACTCACAACGATCAAACAAATACGTATGTTATTAAGCTGGATTAGGTTGATATTGGCTTGTTTTTGAAACTTATTAAACTGTAAATCTTTTGATTGATAATGGATTAATGGATGTCACTTTTAAACCTACCATTATTTCGGTAAATGCATACTCATTTAGTTTTCACGGTTTATTCTCGGAATATGAGAAATGACTTTTTAATTTCTTTCCACTACTCAAAACTATAGTTTAGACGTGAGTTTTACTGAGATTATCAAAATTAAATGTAAGATAAAACTGATAGCACATATACATTAAAACCTCTATAACTTATTACTCATAAATTAATAATCACCAAAATTTAATTTGAAAAAATGGTCTTAGTTGGGTCAGTGTAATATTTTACATATATAAAACTACTAAAGTAATATTTTTTTAAACTCCTATTTAAGTATATGTGTCATCAAATGAAATAGTATAGTTAATAATTGTATTAAATTATCAATATATACATTATATATATATATATGTAAGAAATTGGTGAAATATGACTCTTGTATGATCAATTTTTTTTCTTCAATTTATATTAATTTTTGTTAGAGTACATTTTGAATATATTTTTATGTATGGAAACTGTTGGTATTATCTTCAAGCATGATGATTGTTTTACTATTTGTTGAAGATTTTTAATTATAACAAAAAAAAAACTTTTAGTTTTGATTAGATTTAAAAATTGTATACAAAATTAGAAAAATAGGAAAATATCTTAGACTCATCTCCACTGTATTTCTCTATTTTCATCTAAAATAGAGAAACTCTATGATATAGGTGGTTTTTATTCCAAAATATTCTTATATTATCCTCTAAAAACGATATTACATGTAGATTCCATTTTAATTTAGTACTAATATATTTTACTGACAAAAGTTACAAATTAACTCGTTTACTTTTAAGCTGTATTTGTAAACCAAAAATTAACCCACTTACTTAAAGAATTATTGTATAAATTAAAAATTGAACTATAAATTAAAAATTATATTTTATTGATATATTTTGGTTCTATTTAGAAAAATTAAAACTACTTTTTATTAATAATTTATATATTTTGTAATATTATTAACTATTGAAGGTAATTATTTTATTTAGTATAGCTATAACTTACAATTTAATTGCGTGATGATTCTTTAAGTAAATAGGTTAATTTAATAATTTTTATAAATAAAAGTTAAAAGTAAGTAGATTTATCTGCAAATATTATAAATATAATATATTACAACTAGAATAAAGATAAAGTATATATATAAAAAAATCTTTAGAGGAAAAAGATAAAGATATACATTGGAATTTAAATCATCTTTATCATAGAGTAACTCTATTTTATAGACAAAAATGATATAGAATTATTACTTTACAGAGGTATACATTGGAGTAAAAAAAACATTTTTATCATAGAATTACTTTATTTTATAGACAAAATAGATAAATAGATTGTAGATTGTCTAGAATTATTACTTGATAGAGGTTTCATTGAGTATATAGAATATCAAAAGACAAAAAGCTAGCTTTGTATACACGTTAATACACATTAAACTTGTAAATGGAACAGGGACAAAAACGTAATTTTCTAGTATTTTGACGGGTAGAGCTGACAGAGAAAATTACTTTTACAGAGAGATACTCTTTGCTTCTTCTATAAAAGTAGCTTTGCATTTGCATGGATGGCCTCATCGACTCCCTCACTCTTCTTCAGTACGTTTTAAACAAACCCCAAAGAGATTTCACAGCTCTCTAATGTCTTATCAGAGTAGTCCGACGAAAGATTTCGCCGATGACGTCGAATGGTGTGACGAACACTGGCCGGAGCTAGAGTTCCGGTCACCGGAGGACGAAGCTTGGTACGCCGTGGAGGTTTCAGAGATATGCGACGCTCTCTTGATCAGGTTTAACGGCTTCACTTGTGATTACGACGAGTTTTATCCGTCGGACGAGTTCAAGAACTCCGACGAGATTCAAGAGTTTGAAGAGAGGTTTCGAGCTTGTTCTCTGCAGATGCAAGACACTGAGTGTCCCACGGTCACTGAAGGAACCAAGGTCTGCGCCACGTTCCCTTCCGTCACCGGCGATGTCAAGTTCTACGACGCCATTGTCGTCACGGTGAGTCTTGTAAACAAATTAGTCCCGGTTTAACGATTTTGGAATCCTGAATCCGGTTTCTTTGTGCATAGGTTGAGAGGACGAAGCATGAACGTGACGAGGAAGGTAACGAGGTCTGTGGGTGCAACTTCAAAGTGTTCTGGAAACAAGGTCCTTGGGTTAACCAAGTCACTTCTGCTAAAGTCGGAGACATCTGTCTTAGAGCGGAGGATAATAGAATGAATCCTAAAGTGGTTTCCTTCTTTAAAGAAGCTAGAAGGAAGCTTCTTGGAGAAGCATGTCTCCAAGGTAATTATAATTTTGATCAAATTAACATCTTATAAATTAAAAAAAAAAGTTTTTCTTTTTCTAACATATGATTAATTGCAAAATTGTGCGAAGCAGGGGAAGAGACAGAGTGGCAAAAGATACTGAAGAAGGTCAGTTCTGCTATTGAAAACAATTTAAGCTTGTCTTCTCTTCCAGAGAATCATGGTTAAAAGGAGTCATATGTTTGTGTTGTGTTGCTTCACAATGTCGTGTCTGCAAAATAGCTCAAAATTGTGGTTTCATTGTGTTAAGAATAGTAGAGAACTCTATGTACCCTTTTGAGGTAGTTTCTTAGTTAAGAAGAAGGATGATATAATCTTGTTAATGTATCAATCTTTGTTCTGAAACTCTAGTATCTCTCTTGATTTGTAATTTGTAGAACAAATTGCTTTTTTTTGGTACTCCTTGGCTCAAAAGTGAATTTCATTTGTTAACATAGAGAGCTTCATTAGAACTAGAGAATTCACGGCCAACACCAAAACTGAGAAATTACAGTTGCAAAAACCTATTTAGTTTGCCGCAGATTAAGCCAGTTGCAAGGGATAACGATAGTGAAGCCGTGAGGATCATCAATGTTACATGTAAAAAGCAAAATTTGGGTCAAACGATAATAATAACAGTCAAAAGAGAACTTGTAGAACAAGAAACCGGTCAAAGTCTTTCTGACGGTACCAAAGTGACGAGTTTGTTCATCACTTTGATTTGACGTAAGAGAACCGTAGAGAGACTTCCACACATGAGGCTCATAGGTTGATGTAACAAATAGGTAAATAATTCATGAGTCGATTATAGAAATGCTTTGTTATTTGTCAAGAGTATTACATCACTTTTTGGAGTAATGTGAGGTGTGTAAGCCAGAAGCAAAAAGAATTAGCTACTATTTAGTAAAGATCAGATCTAGTATGGAACCAGTCTCGGATGATTCCATTTTTGGTTTTACACAATTGTAAATAGGTCAACAATGAAGCAATGAATCATTAAACAAAACTTGTAACAAATGTTAATTGTCTGATGGGAACCACAAATCATTTTTTAAGATTCAAGAGAGTTAAGGGAGGAAAGATTCAATTTTTTGGAAGCTACAACACCATTCATAAGTCCCCCTTCATAGATAGACTTTCAATGTTTGAAAGGTTTCTATGACCTCAGCGAAGTCTTACTGAACACTAATCAGTTCGACATCAAACGTCAGCCAAGAGTTAGGAGGAATCTGGCGACCAGCACCCTGAGCACCATACCTGTGAGCCAGACAATATTATCATCCCATTATATCTTCAATCAGAAAGAAAGAAAACAAAAAAAAAAAAAGATAAATTCAAAATGATTTACCCCATTGATGGAGGAATTGTAAGCTTTCTTTTGTCACCAACACGCATGCCTGTGAAATTCAAAACATGAGATCAAAACAACATGATTCACAGTTTAACAGAATGAAGAAAACAAGTAAGAAATTACGTTACCATTAACGCCGACATCCCATCCCTTAATGACTTGTCCAACACCTGCATGTTCCAACCAACGCATAAGTATCACCTATCAAGTACCAATTTCCAAAGCTCTTGATTTTAAAATCCAGTAACAACACTAACCTAGACGGAACTTAAAAGGTGCTTTTCCAATGTTGGAATCGAAAATCTTCGCATTCTTTAGAAGCTTTCCAATATAGCGGACGGTAACCTGCACTCAGAGAGAACAGAATGAGCTCCAAATTTATTTCAAAAGCACACATATTATACATTGATGCACTCCTATCCAATGTGGACTCTTTGGTCTAATAAGGTTTTAGTTTGCTCACTTCTTATCTAATATCAATTCTTTCAATATCCCCATTCTTATCACACTACAATCTTGCTACATAATCTATATGACATTCCAACAATCATCTAATTTCATGTGCACATTTATGACTATAAATGTGCATACCGTTTTTCCAGGATCAGCTCTCTTGCCGTTGGGTTTGCCCATGCTCAACTCTTCAATAACGAGCCCATTTGGGTGTGTCCGTACTTGAGACGGCTTGGAGTCCACTTTGGTTTGCTTCTCAGCACTACTCGAAATGGCTTTACTCTCAACAGTAGCTTCCTCACTTGACTTCTTTTTGTTCTTTTTGTTTTTCTTCTCAGCAGATTTAGATGGGGTCTTGGAGCTTTCATCCCTGCCATAGAAAGCACAGAATTTTGTTAGATGAGAAAAGGTTTGAAGGAACCATCGTATATCTCAACTTGTGACCTAATCATTTTTTATAATCATTCAAATATCTACTTAACTGATATTTCATAATTGTAAGGAATACTTGATATTATCCCACAACAATAAAAGAAAATCCCTTATCAAGAAGTAGGTTTCTCACATGGCATTGTCTACAGTTCCATTCAGCACATTTCCCGTCTGAACTTGTTCATCAGCTTCCTCTTTTGAAGCATTTTCCCCTTTCTTCTGTTCTTTTTTATTTTTCTTCTTTTTGCTCTTGTTTACACTGAAACAGAATTTAGAATCAATTTCTTATCCGGACCATATTACTGATAAAAGTATGTTAATTATGTCTTCAGGGTCAACAGAGATCAGAGAGAAAAGTACCTTTCTTGTCCTCCATCTTGCTCAGCAGCCTTGGCCTTCCTTTTTTTGTTGCTACCTTTTTCTTCATTATCTAAGTCCATCTTCTCACATGACTTATTCACTGGTTCAGATGCTTCTCCTTTGTGAATAGGTAAGCCATCTTCATCTTCATCTTCGCTTCCAAGAACTGGAACATGGGCACTCTCTATGGTGACGATTTGTTTCTTTGCATTCTCATCTTCGCTAGTTTGACTCTTCTTCTTGGTTCGTTTTGCCTTATTATCTTTGGCAGGTTTCTCTTCATCTTCTATCTCCTCAATTACAACTAGCAAAGATATCGTTCAGAATTATTTTAACAAAACAAGCAAATACCATTTCTATATACACTATTAACACAAATGCAGAAGAGAATCTGCACCCTAGAGCCACACTTGTACATGTACAGTTCAAATTTACAGATATATGATTGAAAAGCTAAATCATTTTAATCAATATCTTTTAAAAATCTTGTAGCAATAAGACAAGAGTGACGAGTCAAGCAGAAAATAAGCAATAACAACTGGAAGAACTAAGCTGCTATATCAAATGTTTAAGAAAAAATACCTCCGCTCTTTGGGATAGAAGCATTCCGATACATTTCAAGATTGCTATCAAGGAAGTCTTCAAATTCATCCAAATGATCCTCGTCTTCACTATCATATTCACACGAGTCATCAGACTCAGATTCACCAATTTCAATACCATCTCTAATATTGTCGCAATGAAAACTTGAACAGATGGAACAATAAGTAGAAACAAGAAAGAAACATTTGCAAAGGAAGCTGGTAACAGTAAAAAGGATACGAATCATCTTCATCCTGCTCATAATCATCTTCATCCTCCTGCTCATAATACTCCAAGAATCCAGACAGGTGGATGCTTCTGTCACCAGTCACAGAGAATTCAACAGGCTCATCATCATCGTCAAACTCGAGATTCAGAGTGCAGCATTCGATTTTGTTTGGCAACAGTGAACACAACAAAATAGGGGTCTTGTCTCCAATAGAACACTGAATCACACTCTTCTCTTTGCTCAAACCCGCACCTAAAGTTGCCTGAACAATAGCAAAACATACACACACAAACAACAACACATTCAGACTCCAATAATTAGTCCACACAAAGATAAAATCAATATCCTAACAAAATCAGCTCCGGCCTTAGAGACAAGGAACAAGAATTATACCTGGGTGACGTGAATCTTTCCTTGTTCATTTTTAGGATGATAAGGTTGAGGTTTCCCAGGTTTCACTTCAAGTCCTGCATATGTTAACAAAACACAATCAGAACACAAGAATCGTCTTCCGAGAGAATCAAAGAACACATTGAGCTGAGAGAAACTAACCCCAGAAACCCATTTTCAATTAGATGACGATAAACCCTTAGAAATCGAAGCGGCAACTAAGTTGTGAAGAAGAAGACTAAAACCCTAATCAAAGGTTTTTGTAGACGAGCTTTATAGCATCAAGAGAATTAAGCAGTTTCGACGTTTTGTCCCAAGCGCGCTCTTAGTAATTTGGGCCTTCATAAACCTATAGATTCAATGAAGCCCATTATTGGTCTGTTATCTGAATTACTTCAAAAAATACTTCATAAAAAACAAAAAAAAAATGAAAAAAATACTTGAATATCTGTTTTTATTACAATAAATTTTCACTGAATTTTATTACTAAACGATTAATTACCAGAAATATATTTTAATCTAAATTTCTATAACATTCAAAATGCGAAACTACACTTCAGTAATCTACTAAAACCATTGTTCCCTCGCTGCAAGGATTATTCGACTTGCGCCTTGGACTTGTATTTACATTTTACAACAAGAATTCTTTTGGAAAAAAAAATCGGTTTGTTTTTTCAAATACAAATGCAAAATGCAACTAATTCCCTTTTAAAACAATTGAGATCTATGACATGTAGGATGTGCAAACGGGTCCAATCCATTTTCTACTGCGTTTGTACTCTTTAACCAAGTTAGGTTTAAGTGTATGTATTTTGGTGTGAAACCATGTGTTTCTTGTTAAGCTAATTGTTATGATTTCCATCTTCCTCGTAGTTGAACGGTAACGGGACAGTTTTGAAAGCTCTGTATCTCCCAACGTTGTTCAAATGCTCATTCTCCAGCCTAATCAACAAAACCATTTAACTTCATTGTGTGTATAATGTAGATCCATATGCAAACACCTATTTCTCTGTCTTGGAGCTTACCTGAAGAAGCTCCAGATACCTCTACGTATGATCTCAAGGCAAGCCAGAAGCGCCACTATAGTTTCTCTATGCAAGAAAGAGAATTTCAGATCCAAAACTGTTTGCAACCACACTAACCTCAGCAAAACATTCAGGACCTGCCAAGTACATGAAGAAGCTATCTAATATACTTCACCATAATGGAAGAGAGAAAAAAACAAAAACAGAGGATATTGTTGTTTTCTGTTTTCTCTCACCATTGCAGCGTAGTACACGTTTTTGTGAGGAACAAGAAGCTTGTCTCTCAATAAACTGTTCTTACATCCTCTTTGAAGCAATCCCCAGTCAACAACTATGTCCCAGTAGGTCCCGTAAAACGTTGCAACTCCCGAGAATACCCAAGCTGTGATGTTCCATGTGATTCCTCTGTTGAGAGTATATGCTGTTCTAAGACAAGCAGCCACGATGGTTAAGAGATACTTGATGGCATTGTACCCATGACACAGTTCTTTTTCTTCCATTAGTCTTCGAATGCACTGAAGAAGTCGTAACCAGTATGGTATGACGGCAACGATGAAGTAGAATGTTGCGAATCCAACATTTGATCTGCAGGTGTTTCGTCGTCTGTGTCTGAAATCTCCAAATCCATAGTAGCATATGTAGAACTCTAAACTCCTCAGTGCTTGTACCTACATTGGCTATTTAGGTCAATAACTCAAGGATCAAATATGTAATGGAACTCTTTTTGGAGTATCGAATTTTCTCAAACCTGGCTTGTTAGTTGATCTGCCAAGAAAAAGTCAGGAAGATGCACCTGCAAGAATGGTAACATTTTATTTAATGTGTTTTTGGTTCAGATGAGTGTAGTAGAGGATGTTGTTGGTACCGTGTAAAATGGTGCAGCGATGCAGCGGAACAGAATTGCAAGGAAGAAGTACCGGCTGGACCTATACAAAATGTTTAAGGGGCAGAGAACAATGGCGATCACTAGCTGCAATGGTGTAGATGAACCACTCTCATCAAACACAATTAAGGATTGAGTTTTATATATATATTGTAATGCAAGATAGATAGAAAAAGAACTTACAACGAGTAGAAAGAGGGGAACAAGTTCGGTGACTGTTCTGTAGTCTTTTGTTTCAGCATCCATTTCCATGTCAAGGTTTAATAAGACAGCACACAAAGAAAGTGTACCAAGACCAAAGCTGAGAAGTAGAACTTGTCTGTAATTAAGTTCAGTTCCTTGTTTGAATCCAAAGATGAAGGAGTAATTCACACGGTATCGCTTCCAGAAGTAGATATTAGCAGCGTACATGATCATGTGCAAAACTACAAACCCAAAGAACCTGCAAATGAAGATGTATATATCTACTCAAGAATGATCCAGAGAGAGAGTGTTTGGTTTTGTGTTTGTTCCTTTCACTGACCTGTAAAGAGGGAACATTGTTTCCATATAAGTTCTTTGTCCTGGTGTTCCCATGATATTACGGGCATGGATGATCAAACCAAGAGCTACAATGAGAGAAATACCACATCCAAAGAAGAAGCCTAAAACAAAACAAAAAACAGAACAAAATGATGAATACTACGTACTCTTGCAAATACATGTCAAAAGATTGGATATTGTGTTGTGCAGTTATACGTACCGGTGGAAAACGTAATAAGATGACGTTCTTTGTGTATCTTTGGTCTCAAAAGGCTCATCCCTTGCCTCCGGTTTGAATTGGAGAAATGTTCAATGAAAGTAGATTCAACTTTTAGCAACAGCTTGTGAACCTGTACATGTTTAAGGCTTCAAAGTTCAAGCTGAAGTTGCATTTTTCTTTTTTCAATGTTTCGTAGATAGAAGAAGAATAAGTTTTTTTTTTTTTTGAGGTTAAATCTGCTTACTTCATCGGAGCTACTGAGGTAAGAGCTATCCACCATTTCCATATACAATTTCGCAGCATATCTTTTGGCTACCTAAAGAGGAGAGCATATCCACCATTATATAAACAAGAGTAAAATGTCATTTTAAAAAAGCTTGTCAAGTTTAGTACCTTATCATACTTCTTCATGATCTTGGAAACAGCGCAAGCGTTCAAGAAGCTGTAGTTTTTAAGATGTCGAAGCTTCTGATAGAACTCAATGAAAGCAATCTGAAGTCGCTTCTCGACTTCCCTGAGATTCTCTCTTGTGAATTTGAGCTCGTCCTGCTTACGGACCTTGAGGATGGTTTTTATGGCGGACAGAGGAGTTATTTCTCGCGTTTTGTTCATCCTGATGCGCTCGAGAATACTCTCTTTCGATGTATCATCGCTCCTCATGAGATCAGCTAATGCTACTCCTGATTAATCAAAGCATAGAGATTTATAAAATTTCAAACTCCTCAAACCAAAAGAACTGAAACCAAAACAGGACATGAGAAACTCACTTACTGTGTTCTCTAGCCTTGGAAGATGATCCAACCTCAGAGGCTAAGCCATTGATGTCTACTGAGACAGAATCAAAGGCAGAAGGGGTCTTGTCATCCATAACTTTATGTCTGAAGGCAATCAAAGCATCCATCTGTTTGTTCAGAGCCAGAGCCTCATTCCTCGCTGTCTCCACTTTCTGCCTGTAAAAGTTATTCACCTTGTTGAATTCTCGATCTAGGGTTCTAAAGAAGGTAACCTCAAAGTCTCCACCTGCTTCTCCGGCCTTCAAAAACGTGGTCTCATAGGCCGTCGTCGTCGTCGTCTCGAGCTCTTCATCGTCCTGGGTCACAGTGTTGACCACAATGTCGTGATTCTCAGAGACAGAGGCGTCGCGGTTGTACCTTCTGGTTAGGTTGCGTGCGAGGGAAGGAGTGCTCTGGCTATTGGAATCACAATTCTTCCGAGAAGCTTGGACGTCTTGAAGAATGGTTTTAAGGTAAGCGTAATTTATGTAAGCTTCCTGCCATTCTGGGATCGTTTGAGACACAAACTCTTTCCCAAATCTCATCCTTCGTTAATTTCCTCTTCTCTTCACACAACCTTGAGATTTTTTTTGTTTGATCCAATCCTCTCTTAGATGTCGAAGTGTACAGTGAGAATCTCAATTTAAGAATCTTTATTTCTGTCTTTGGAACATAACTGGAAAGAAAAGACCCTCGAGTTTTGACTTTTGGGTTTTGAGTGATGCTGAAAGGTTTGTTTTAGAGAGGTAGACCAGGTCGCAAGTCTTAACTTAGCCAGCAAATATATGAATTTGTTTTCGTCCACAATTAAACATTCAAAAGTCAAAGCTGCCCAAAAAAGTATTAGCTATAGTTTTGATTTTATATTTGTTACATCACTATAAATGATCCAATATAACTAAAGTCTTAACACATAGATCCACAAAAGTTAGTTCCATGCATCAGTATATATACCACCATATTAACGATGGATGTATAATATTCTCAGCGACACACTCAAAGTTTACTATACATTGGTTCCACATACAGAAACTTTTGATGATAAGTTTAGACCAATAATCCACAAAATTGCATATTATGAACAACAAAAACTCCTAATCAAGAAGAAGATCATCCTTCTTGGTAAGATTTAAGGTGTATCTTAATGCCTTATAACCACTAGACAAAAGAGCTTTTAACCTAATAACTTATTATTGAATCTTGATTAAGGTTTATACGTTGTAAAATAAAAGAAAAATAATCCCACCAAAAAAAATAAATAAATAATGGTTAACCATGCGGCATGCACGTTTCAGTGTTCAGTAATAATACATTGTTGCTATAACTAGAAGTTTGATTATAGTTCAATTCCATTTAAAATTATGGCCTGTTTTTGTGTGATCGATAAGGACTCTTGAGTCTTTGATATCTATATAATAAAAACTAATCCTGCATGTGACATGTCAATGTGCTTATTAAATCTCTAGTCAAATATTACCAAATCATGTCAATGTGCTTATTAAATTAAAAAATATGACATATCTACGTCCACTTGAGAATATAGAAGAATCGTTTTAACTTTTGTAAATATTGAATGGATTGGCTCTAAAAGCGCGTAGAAGCATACTCGCAAAATCTTATCTCTATTAGTAGCTTCTCCGTTTTGACGCCACCTGCCTAAAAGCACTATGTATGTGTAATGTCTTTAACATTGGTTGACAAAAAATTTGGTATCTTCTACACTGCAATTCGTGACCACAATATATGTATCGTCGTCTTCCGTTTACTTATCTTAAGACTTAGGAGGGTAACTACTAGTTACTAACTAGCAACCGACTTTTGAATATTTTGATTATAGGTATATTCGTAATGACCAAAGTTCTATAGCAATTTGGCATTTAGGGGGTAAGAGAAGTATTCATATATATACTGACATACTATGACAAAAGGTGTATATATAAGCAAGAAGATGACCTTATATATCAAAAAATTGAAAATTTAGAATGTTTTGAAATAGAATCGTAAAACTGTCGTGGTACGTAGCCCTGATTAAACCATTACATGCATCCGGGTGCACATATGTTATGATATGACGATCAATAAAGTATGATAAAAATAAAAAGTAAACTTTCCATTTCTCCATAAATGTAAAATTTCCATTTTTTAATCGTTCTTCAGTGACAATATAAACCTTAAAAGCTTAACAGATTTATTAACATAAATGTAATTCTTTTTGGGTTGACAATACATATATAGCAACTAATTTTGATGAAGCAACTCATTTTTGGTTTCTTTTTTATTTGCATTGAGAAATGCAACTCTGCGATATTTATCAATACATTGTTTCTTTTTTTAGCTGGTTGGTTTATCATCATACTCGTTACAAATAAAAGAAGTAATCTACCCGATAATGCGTATCATATGATAACGCGAAGAGTCAAAAATATTTATGAATTGTATTGAAAATTCGGAATCTACGCAAGTGGCGTTGACTGTTGACCTTCGACTTCCAGGTTAGCACGAAGGGTGGTATCGTAACTTAACATATCATCGCGTGGCCGTCTACGCGCCGTCTTGATCGATGAGATCTCACAGACGGCATTAATGGCTCCTGAAGAAGAATACAATTGATTTAACTAATTTCTTTACTCTTAATTATTTCCGGGAATATTAATTAATCAAAACTCGTATTAAAAAAAAACTATAACTAACCTTTTGTTTAATTTGATTTTCGCTAAATTTGTTGTTATTATTCTTCACTGTTGTGGATTCCTTGTGAATCTTCTTCTGAGCTCGCTCGCTTCACGAACAAGGGATCACATCATTTCCTCTTTTCCTCGGTGTTTCAAGGTACCTTTAGATTCTCTTTCTTATCTCTTCGTTTTGGATCTATTAAATCTCTCGTGATGAAGATTGATCTTTCTTCTCATTCTGGATAATTCTGACGGTGAATACGTACGTATTGCTTTTTTTACTTTTATTTTTAAGAGCTGAATCTGAGTTGGATTCACATTATCATTTGGTTTTGATTCTTGATTTTTTTCCAATTAGATGAATAATGTTTCAAAGTTTCCATTTTAGAAGTTTAATAATTAATTAGATCGATGATTTTGATTGTTACTCTTCCTGATTTCAGTGTGTTTTCCGATCCTGAAGAAGGGTGATCTAGTGACTACGCTTCAAAATTAACATTTCGCTTGAGTCGAGTAACGAATTCACTTAGTTCAGTGGGAGATTTGCATGGTTTTGTGAAGAACACATATTTGGTCTGGACTGCATTTACCATCTTCAACCCCAATTTTTTTGAAGGAATGGTGATAGTGGATTAGTTATCACCTATATAGGCTCTGTTCTTTTTTTTTGATAGCATTTGTTTCTGGGTATCTAGGGAAGCCATGGCTTTTGGTTCTCCTAGGAATTCTATATTAGCCGCTGGATTTCCTCGGAAGGTGTCTACTATTGCCATTGCTATTGGCGGATTGGCATCATTCTTTGTTTTCGGATTGTTGCTTCGTCTTTCCTATCCTAACGCTTCTTCAGCCAGTGGCGCCTTTTATGGAGTCGGTACTTCAACTTTATCTTTGAGCAACCATACCGTAAAAGGCCTTCAGAAGAGTAGCGACATCAATGCGTTTGATAGGAATCTGACTTCTGATTCTAGCTCAGGCTCACCAGATGTCGTTAGCAAAAACATACCACCTCCAGATTTCGGTAGTGATAGGCAGTTGGACAAACCTTTGACTCAAGAAAAAGAGGATACGGTTGCTTTGGATACAACTGAGAAGATTAATGTTCAGTCAGGTGAAGGTGAAACCAATGACACCAAGCCTGAAGAAACTCCAATTGTATCATCTCCTCCACATGACGATGACTCTGAAACTGCGTCAGCAGTACCAGGTACTGTTCTCTTAATCACACTGGTTTCCAGTTACTTAGCTTTTTGCTTATTTGGAACATCTTAATTAATGGTCGCTTAATTTGATGTAAACAAAGACTAAACTAGTAAGGGAATGTTATACATTGATTTTTGCATTTCTGTGGCAAAAGCCTTAAGGAATTCAGCGGCTTAACTCTTAGCTATAGGCTAGTGTATCTATTCTAGCCAAGGACTGAATGTAGCAGATTAGAGTTTTAAGTTGGTTAGAGAGCATATGTGAGGGCTGGGCTTTGTAAAGGTGGTCTCACCATATTGTTCTAGGAGTTGGATTTTCTAGGCTTTCTGAGGACATTTGGTTGAGAGTTCTCTCTGTTTTGATGAACTTGAATAAGAAAAAGCAGTTTCGTAGTTTTGTTGTCAGTTTCATGCTACCTGTTCCATGTTTTATAGTTCTGTTATGAATTTATCGCGTACTCTAATCTTTTATTGCTTGCAGAATGTGATTTGTATCAAGGTAGTTGGTTTTATGATCCTGGAGGACCTCTGTACACGAACAACTCTTGCCCTGTCCTGACACAGATGCAGAACTGCCAGGGCAATGGAAGACCTGACAAAGGATATGAAAATTGGAGATGGAAACCGTCTCAGTGTGACCTTCCTCGGTTTGATGCCAGGAAATTTCTTGAACTAATGAGAGGGAAAACACTAGCCTTTATAGGAGATTCAGTAGCTCGTAATCAGATGGAATCCATGTTGTGTCTTCTTTGGCAGGCAAGTAACTTAATTATTGGTGAAGAACCGGTGTAAGAGATCTATTATGTTGCTTTATTCAGCTTCATAACATTGTATGGATTATTGAACGTAGGATTCTGTTTTCAGGTTGAAACACCAGTCAATCGTGGGAGCCGAAAGATGCAGAGATGGTATTTTAAATCATCATCAGTAATGATTGCCCGTATTTGGTCATCTTGGCTCGTCCATCAGTTCAATGAAAAATTCGATTATGCTCCTGAAGGTGTCACAAAACTAAACCTGGATCTCCCTGATGAGCGCATAATGGAAGCTATCCCGAAATTCGACGTGGTTGTCCTCTCATCAGGGCACTGGTTTGCAAAGCAGTCTGTCTACATATTGAAAGACGAGATAGTGGGAGGCCAGTTATGGTGGCCAGACAAATCAAAACCTATGAAAGTCAATAACGTTGATGCATTCGGAATATCAGTTGAAACAATCCTAAAGTCCATGGCTACACACCCGAACTACAGCGGTTTAACCATTGTGAGAACATTCTCACCTGATCACTACGAGGGTGGTGCTTGGAACACAGGTGGTTCATGCACCGGGAAAGAAGAACCCATCGTTTCCGGGAAACTAGTGAAAAACGGATTCACAGAGATAATGCATGAGAAGCAGGCGACGGGATACAACCAAGCCGTGGATAAAGTAGCAGAAAACTTGAAGCTTAAATTAAAGCTGATGGATATTACAGAGGCTTTTGGATATCGCCATGATGGTCATCCTGGTCCATACAGGAACCCTGACCCGAACAAGATCACTAAAAGGGGACCAGATGGACGGCCTCCACCTCAGGACTGCTTGCACTGGTGTATGCCAGGTCCGGTCGATACATGGAACGAAATGGTATTGGAACTCATAAGGATGGACTTTGAAAGCACGAAAAAGATTACCTCATCAACTTGACTTGGTTTGAAACTCAAGGCTGAGAGAGCATATTACACGACTATATACTATGAACCTGATTCTTGATTACTACTGATAAACCGAATATAAACTCAGTTGTAGATTTGTTGGCAGCCATGGTGAGTTAGGATTAGGATTGTTTCAGATCGTAATTGTTCCACTATACTTTTTGGTTCGCTTGTGTCATCACTCACTCTTGAGATGGAGAGTTATCTTTTTTTTTTTACTTACAGTTACAGTATATGATGAGTTTGGAGTTATGAGTTGAAATGTTATAAATTATGTAAACTTGAGGGGTTTATTTGCAAAAAAAAGGTTTGATGTGTAATAGTCGCCTATCTCACACAACTGACTCACCCAAGAGGGCCAAAGCTTTGATAACTCCTCAGAGTGAAAATGGCGTCGTACACGCTATCATATATCCCTTTGACGCTCTCTAATCCTCGGATCCTTGTTTCCAGACAGAATGGATCTTCCTTGTCTTCGTCTTCTCCGCTTCTTCTTACTTCTTCTCTGTTAGGTAAGAAGCTTTTGGTGACACCACCGTCGCGCCGGTGCTTCGTCTCCAAGAACAGGTGCTTGACCTCGGCCAGCACGGTCTTAAACGTCCCAACTGCGTGAGTTTTTGATTTTACATACATAAGCCCTTCTGGTATTTTCTGGGTAGTTCTTTACACCGCGGAAATGGAAGCTTAGGTTGTAACTTGTAAGGTTGATTTGTTTTCAGGCAACCGGAGAATGGTTCTTCGGATAAGATCCCAAAGTGAGTCTCACACGAAATTGCGTATCCAATTTGTAACTTTGAGAAATTCTAGGTTTGATGAGAGGTTTATCCGTTTCATTTTAGATGGTCGGCGAGAGCTATAAAGTCACTTGCAATGGGGGAATTGGAGGCTAGGAAGCTCAAGTATCCAAGCACCGGGACTGAAGCCATTCTCATGGGTATTTTAGTCGAAGGTTTGTGATTCTGAGACTTGTATTTGCTTTAGCTTTGTGTTTACTGAGTCGTCTAGCTTAGATTGTGGTTTCTGGGTTTTCATAATGTTGCCTGGATCTCATTGTTCAAACTTCAAAGTTTGTATTTAGTTTTGAGGAATTGTTTACAATAATGCTCTGGGAAGATTGCTTCCCCTAAGTTTCAGCTCATCTGAGCTTAACTGAGTACAAGCATAGATATTAGCAAGGGCTTTTATGATTGTTTGTTCCAGTGGGATGAGATTTTGCTTCGGTTCTTCCGTTTCTTAATCGTTAAGTTGATGCTGTATATTCAGTTGTGGAATGCCTTATGTATGTTGATACAAGAAAATTAGGTAACTTAACTGTAGAAAGTATAAACAGGAAATTGAAAAGTCTTACATTTACTTGAGAGATCTGTATAAGATAATGCGGGTGATGATTTCTTTGTCTTGCTTAGACTTCACAGTCCACTCGCTTAACTGATTCCGAGCACTGGTTGTAAGTATAGGCCGTGTTTGTTTAACCAAAACAAAGACATGTGAAAATGAGTCTTTGTTTCTTAACCATAAAGAACTGATACATTATTATATTCAGTTGTGGAATGCTTATGCTGTTTTACCAAGAGGAGAGAACTGAGTAGAATCATCAGAAATAAAGTTTTATTTTTTTGTTGTATACCTTTCTTCTTTCTGTTGTTGAAAAGGCAGTGATGGTAAATCGTTTCAGATTATGTGTTTTACTGACGTTTATTAAGCTTGTTATAGTCTTTTTTCATTTTAGGCACTAGCACAGTTGCTAAGTTCCTGAGGGGGAATGGAGTCACGCTTTTTAAGGTGCGAGATGAGACAATAAGCCTGCTCGGGAAATCAGACATGTACTTTTTCAGCCCAGAGCATCCTCCTCTAACTGAACCAGCTCAAAAGGCAATTGCCTGGGCCATTGATGAGAAGAATAAATCTGGTGTGCATAAACAACACCTTCTTAATATTTGTCGATCCTTATTGTTTTCCATCCATTATATTATATAGTATAACTGAAACTGTTTGTTCACAGCTGTGGATGGTGAACTAACCACGGCATACTTGCTTCTGGGGATTTGGTCTCAAAAGGATTCAGCAGGCCACCAGATTTTGGAGAAGCTCGGGTTCGATGAAGATAAAGCCAAAGAAGTGGAGAAATCGGTAAGTTTCAAAACCCCGAGTCCAACAGGATAGAAAAGCTTTCTCAAAGTCACAACTGTTTGAGTGTTTTTTTTTTTTGGTGCAGATGAATGAAGATGTGGATTTGAGCTTCAAGAAACAAGGTCAATAGTGATGAGGCAGCTTCTGTAACTGTATATTGAGTAGCAAAAGCAACTCTTTCTCTCTGATTAAAGACTCGGCAAAAGACCACTTTCTTGAAGGAATCACTTTATCAAGGAAGACATATGCTGGCTTTCATTAGCATTCTTCACTTTCGATACTTGTTTGTGGTTAGTCTCATTTAGCTTTTCTGCATTATCACAATATACAGACTCTGGAATATGATGATCAGTGCTTTGATTCTCTAATGGGTTTATGTTTACCAAAAGGGATCAACATACATAATTCCTCATCAGCCGAGTGATTTATTTGTGAATTGTGATTTACTACTTTTAATTTCCTCGTTTACTTAATTTATTTGTTATATAGAAATCATTATATATAAAAAAGAGGGAATAATTAATAACAAGAATAAAACCAACACTAAATAAAATTTAAAAAAAAATCAAAATCATCTTTAGACAAGGAATCAAAGATGCAAGACTTTTTAAAAAGTCTAAAATAACACTAAAACCTCTGCAGCTTGTCAGCTCTGTTCAAAGGCAACTGTGTGGCCAAGGCGAGCCGTCCAGATTGTTTGTAATCGAAGGGACAAGAATGTTCCTCCGGATACCGATGTGATCCGCAAAACATGTGTCCGCATCTGCACTTGAATCCCAACACTCCTACCTTCCTCTTACATACATCACACCTTCGTTTTCCGACCGGTTCTTCTTTTACAGGGACTGGACTACTAGTGGGAGAACAAAACTGTGATCGCTCGGTCTCGGGTTCGAGTCTGAAAGCGGGAGAGTGTTGAAGAACACTCTTTTTGTAGAAGAGAGAGCATAGGTTGTTGTTCTTTCGGGTGCCATAGAGTCCACAGCCTCCAGTGCATAGTAATGCTTCTGTTTCGTTCGCATTCATAGCTGTTATAGTTTTAACAAACTCTTTCCTTCTTCTCCTTCTTCTACTAATTCCTGCTTGCTAGCTAGCTGTTAGTTTGGTATTACGAGAAACAATGCAGAACTCACATATATAGAGAAAGCATGTGTGTTGTTATATACATTCTTCTGGAATTGTGTAATGCAAATAAGTTTCCTTTTTGTGATAGAATTCGATAAGTCTTTCCTCTTTTGTTTTTGTCATAATTGTCGTACTCTTTGATATATAAGTTTCCTTAATTGTACTAACGTAAAATTTCTTGTTTTTAATTCGTAATTGATATACACCTTTTCCTTGTATATAAGAAGGGAAACTTTACATAAGAAAACGTTGAAGCTTGCTAGAGATAGGTAATTTCATAAGAAGGAAACTACGAAGACGTGTGTTTTTTTTTATCTTCGAATAGTCAGTCATATGATAAAACCCAATAAAGACAAATGGTTGACTAACGAAATGGATGTAAGACAAAATACCTAATCCAACTTGATTGATAATCAAATAGACAACAGCAGCTTCCTGGTAGTTTCTAATGTGAATGAGTCGGTCCGTTTTATCAAAAAATACTATAGTATAAGTTGCGTGCCGTTTTCACAATGGTGTTAAAGTAATTAAGTTTAAAGTAGGTAATTAAAATTTAGACAAATTCCACATGGTGATCTTTGATTACACCCACGGCTGCACGTGAATACACACATTAACGCGTCAAAACGCATACAAACACGTTACTAATTAAATTATTTAATCTCTCGTCCAAAAAGCCACGCAACAAAAAAACAGTCGAGCATTTAAAAATCTTCAACCCCGGTTCGGTTTCTCTATTTGTTTGGCTCCCTTCGTCTGAATTTGAAATTTGAGTTTTCTTTTGAAAAACATTTTTTTTGAAAATGAAAAGGAGATATATAAAAATTATTTGAGTTATTCTTTCTATGGTTCTTGTTTGATATAGAAAGAAGGAATAACAGGTTTTTGGATTTTTGTGTATTGTTTGGATATTAGCATCCGGTTTATATTTTGTTTTAACCAATCAAAAATAAGTCGGAATCCTACACGTAAACCATAATTTAATGACTCTTTGATTAATTAATGGCTCAATCGAAATGTCGAAATTTTCATATTGTCGAAAGCTCAAACCTTTCTGTCTCTCTTCCGATTTTTTATCTGAAAAGTGAGAAACACAAAACCAAAAAAAGCAACGATTTTGTCCTCTGTTTTATGGTTCAACTTCGGTTTATTAAATCTCTATGCCCTCACGATCAATCTTGGCGCCGGCTCCGGCGACTCTAGCTCCAGCTCCGGATAAGACAACTCATATCTTCCCACCTGTAGCGGCGGCTGGAGCCGGCGCCGGCGGTTTCTCTCTCTTCGTATCTCTCTCCGTCTGTTTCTGCAAGTTCAGCCGGAAACGTTCATCATCACCGCCGGCGGAAAACGCTTCCTCTTCCCATCGGAAACAGCCGCCACGTGAGTTCTCCTATTCCACTCTCCGTCGCGCCACCGGCTCTTTCTCGCAGGCGAATAGGCTAGGTCAAGGCGGGTTCGGCGTTGTTTTCCGAGGAACGATCTCCGGCGGCGAGAATGTAGCCGTAAAGGTAATGGATTCAGGATCTCTCCAAGGTGAAGGTGAGTTTCAGAACGAGTTGTTCTTCGCCTCCAAGCTTGACTCGCCTCACGTTGTCCCTGTTCTTGGCTTCTCTCACGATCGAAAACGACAACGTTTGCTTCTTGTTTACAAGCTCATGGACAATGGTAATCTCCAGGATGCTCTGCTTCACCGGAGATGCCCTGAGCTTATGGATTGGAATCGGAGGTTTTTGGTTGCTGTTAACATCGCGGACGGAATTGAGCATCTTCATAGTCTTGAACCACCTGTGATTCATGGAGACATTAAGCCTAGCAATGTTTTGTTAGATCAACTCTTCTCCGCCAAGATCGCTGATTTTGGTCTGGCTAGGTTGAAACCTGAGCAGGTTGAGATCACGGTAGCGCCGGAGCGTGACGGAGATGGGTCCATGGCTGAAGAAGTAGAGAGTGTGATAACTACTGTGACTGGTTATGAAGATTTTAACTTTGGGTTGGTTGATCAGTCGCCGGAAAGTGTTCCTAAGGTTCCTGGGTCGGTCACTGCTTCGCCGGAGACGACTACGGTTGTTTCTGTTTCTCCTGAAATGGGGGAGAAAACAGATGATGATGGTGGTAGTGTGATAATAAAGAAGGGTAAAGAGATTGAGAGCAAAGAGTGGTGGTGGAAGCAGGAGGGTAATGTTGAAAGAGGGAAAGTGAAGGAGTATGTGATGCAATGGATTGGTTCTGAAGTAAAGAAGGAGAGACCAAGCAGCACTGATTGGATTGAGGCGTCAAGTAAGAAACTTGAGAAGAAGACTAGCAAGAGGCTTGATTGGTGGCTTTCACTGGAGGAAGAGGATGAAAAGAAGAAGAAAAAGAAGCGGAGGATGGTGAGTGAGTGGTGGAAAGATGAGTATCGTAGAGAACTCGCTAAGAAAAAGAAAAAGAAGAAGAAGAAGGATACGTTAGAATCCGAATTATGTAGTGATGATGGGAGTAGCAGTGTGAGTCAATGGCGGCGTGGTAGTGGTAGCAGCATAGATTGGTGGTTAGATGGGTTGAGTGGTGAACGGTGGTCTAGAGGACGGGGAAATAGCCATGATTCAGTGAGCGGTGAGATAGCTAAGAGCAGCGGAATTAGTAGCACGCCGAGCATGAGAGGAACCGTGTGTTATGCAGCGCCTGAGTACTGTAACTTAGATAACAATGTGTCTGAGAAATGCGATGTGTATAGCTACGGTGTTCTGTTGTTAGTTCTGATCTCCGGGAGGCGACCCTTGGAGATGACGGGATCCGCTAGTGAGATCCAACGTGCAAACCTCATGTCTTGGGCGAGGAAGCTGGCAAGAAGAGGGAAACTTGGTGATCTTGTGGACCAAAAGTTGCAAAATGTAGATCAAGAACAAGCAGTGTTGTGCATAAAGGTGGCCTTGCTGTGTCTGCAAAGATTCTCGGTTTCAAGACCGTCGATGAAAGAGGTTTTGGGAATGCTCAAAGGAGAAGTAAGTCTACCGGAGTTGCCTACTGAGTTCTCACCATCGCCACCATTGAAAACAACGAGGAAGCAGCGCCGTTGATTAACTTAGGAATCAGTTTTGGTGACTGTTTAAGTGTTAAGTGCGTTACACGGTTAGTTTTAGGAATTTATTTAATCTTCACCATACTTTCCAACTTGTGCTAAATTAGTCTGTTGTTTTGTCTTCATACCCATTGACATTGATTCATAATCATCTAATTTGTTCACATCTTTATTCTTAATGTCATACACTTCTTCAAATCGGCCTTCTGCGCTGAAAAAAGGCTAGTAATATTATTATACTTCATCTACCTCCAAAACGTACTAACAGATAGATCATTCAAGGTCACTAAAGGTTTTATACAACTCCTATATGGGCCCAATAAATAGTTCTAAGAGTACATGTAAACCTCTTCCAATCGAGTTAACCAAATTGGGTCACGATGTATCCATGTACATGGCCCATACTGAGCCTTGTTCAATTTTTCATTATTTATTTTTCTTGAAACCATCAAGATCTCTTGATAATTTCTTCTCTATTCATTTTATGGAATCTAATGGGATCAATTCAAATTTTGGTTAATGGAGAGTAATCATAGTAATGTACTGTATCTTTAGGTTTTGTTTTTCATTTCATTTTATTTTTTAAATTATCATAAAAAAAAAAAACAAAAGATTCATCCATTCAAATGCTTTCGACTCAAAATGGTATAAATGGAGAACAATTATAACTAGAGGGGGGAAAACAGTAGCTAGTAAGAATGAATGATATGACTTTGTTTAGCATTGCCGAAAAAAAAGACCAATAGGTACTAATCAATTCTCAGCAAAATAACTTAGTACATTATGTTACTCCACAATTTTTTAAAAAGTGATATTCAAACACATTTTGGGAAGACGGTCCAGGGAGCATATGGCCTCAGAGCTGCAGCCCTATCATAGATAATTAAATAAATACTACATATGGTATTGGTACCAATGTCAGATATAATTGAAAATTGATAGCAGAACGTACACTTGATATGTGTACTATACTATAAGAAAAAAACAATAAAGAATTTAATAATATATAGTTATATAGTAAGAAATTAATACGGGAATGTGGAAGAGAACCTATAGGCATCGATTAAAGAGAGAAAGTTAATAATGAAGAAGCACAAAGACGTCATTGCTTACCCCTTTCAAAACTATCTTTTTCTGATACGTCTACCAATAACGTACTATTTTTTTCCTTCATTTTGAATATAATATAAACAAATTTCCCTTTTGCTATCTTTGTTTCCGGCTTCGATATTATTCAACTTTACAACAAATCACACTGACTAGACCAGATCCCATAGCACAAGATCTGATTCTACTGTCTCATATCATCATCATTCTTACTCATTAACATCATCATCACTATCGTTACAAGAAGAATCATTGTACAAAATAACTAACGTACGTAAAGACGACTAGCTAGAGGCTTCAATGAACGGTCCTCCGGAGAATATCAGACGAAGGCCACCTAGTAAGAAGAAGCTGAGAGTTAGTTGTGAAGAAAAAATGGAGAAGGTAGTACACAAAGAAGTTGAGAAACAAAGAAGACTCGAAATGGCTTCTCTCTACGCTTCTCTCCGCTCTCTTCTCCCTCTTGAGTTCATCCAGGTCAACAAAAACCCTAATTATATTATTCTTTCTTTTGATTCTTCACTCCCATCCTACAGATCTACGAAAATTAATTAGAATCTGATCAAAACATGCATGCTTTGTGGCTAACACTTCGTTTCTTGATTTGGTTCTCTAGGGTAAGCGTTCGACCTCAGATCAACTGAACGGGGGAGTCAATTACATAGAGTATTTGGAGAGGAATATCAAGGACATGAGCTCCAAGAGAGATGGCCTCGTGCTATTGTCTCGACGAAGCTTTGGGAGTAGCAATGAACAAGGCTGCGATGATGATTCGAATCATGTCGTGATTCGTCCGTGTTTGGTCGGCGTGGAAATCGTGTTTAGCCATCTCCAAACGCCGATCTCAAGCGTTCTGCAAGTGCTTCGTGAACGAGGCCTCTGTGTTATTGGCTGCATCTCCTCCAGTGTAAACGATAGACTCATTCACACTTTACAGGCTGAGGTACAATATCTCGAGCTTAGTAACTTTAGAGCAACATAAACATATTCACTAAGTAAATGTAAGAATATAAAGAGAGCTACACTTTGTTGGAAAAAAAAAAGAGGGCTACACTTAATCATATATATACAAGATATTTGTAACTCTGTTAGTGAACTACTTTATGAGTGGATAGAACTCTGTTAGTGTTAAAAACCAATTAATGGGTTTTGTGTCTTAATTTGGATTGGAATATAAACATGCATGCATCTGATCGATCGACGTTTGCTTATAGGATCAAAGTGATGAATATGTTTGGATTAATATTGTGAAGTTGTTTTGCATTAATTTTGCAGGTCAAAGATCTGGCTTTGATCGACTTAGCAGACCTTAAGGTTACACTTACCCTAATAAAGTAATTAAAAGGTTTTTCAGTAGATTTCATCTTAGCTTCTCAAATAAATAAATAAACGATGTATATATAAATAGATGGTTTCTTTAGTACTTAATTGTTCTGTGTATTTCTATATATATATTTGTGTGTTTGCAGATTTTGCAGAGATGATGTATTTCTCAACTTTAAAGAAACTGAGAGTAAGAAACTATTCACCTAGCTATAGTATAAGTCTATATATAGGATAACATTCTTATTTTACAGGAAAGGTACGCCGACGAGTAAGAGAATCGTGAAATTATGTTATGAACTTATATAACAGAATAAGTCTTATTTGAAATATGTTATCATTGCCCCCGTGAGTACGTACGTAGCATCACAACTACGAACAAAAGACAGTACGTACGTCGAATTGAACAAAAATTCAGTAACCCATCCAGATAAATAAAAATTCCGACACATTATAAATATAGAAATCATTAAAATATATATATTTATATCTTTTATTAAGAAACACAACAAAATACACTAAAATTAATTAAAAAAAAGTGTTATCTGTATACTAGTTTTGATATTTAATATATACATTCAAATTAAAAGAGAATTGAAATAAATAAAAATTAACGATCATGAATTAGAGGAATTAAAACCATATATTTCTAATAACTGTTAGATAAAAATTAGGGTTAAAAAATAAAAGTTATGCGTGTTAATTCATGTAAGAGATGGTTCATATATCCCCATTGCAGCGCCAGTAAACATGAGTTGATATGTGTGTTTCTCAGTTCACTTCCTTGTGAAGGGAGATATTCACACATAGCTGTGGAAACTCGATCAACTTTATAATTAGTTAACCCTAAGCACATGGACGAAAAATAAAAATAAACTATAGGGAACGTCTGATATTTTATATATGTTTGCTTAGTTTGAAACCGCTATAATTTTTTTACCAAATTTAAATATTTTTAATTCTAGAATTGTTGTCTTTTCTTTTAGAGTTTTGGTAAACAATTTCAGCTAAATGAGTAATCAACTTTTGTTCATGGCTTGGGGATTTGGTCGGAATTAGCCAAGTAGGGTCTAGCTACTTATATTAGTATAATGTAACACATGGCCAAGTCAACATATTCTTTGGTCTTTCTGTGTTATTTGACTTTTAAAGTCTGAATTATATACAGTTTCGTAAATATACAATAAATTATTGCATATACGTAAGCTTGATTGAATAGCCAAAGTTTGGAATAATCATATTTCAGATTTCTATATTATTTTTCTGAACCCACGAGTTTTTTTTCGAATTTTATTGAAGCTAAGGTATTTTTGTAGATGTTAAAATTGCGTCATTTTAACATTTAGAAATTAGGATGACGCTACTAAAGAATATTGTGTCAATTATACAAATATGTAACTGGGGTATTGTAATAAGCATACTTTGCTGTCAACAATCTATTACGAGTTAACTATTAAAAAGCATACAATTATTTAAAAGAGAAATATATAGTTTTGTATTTACCACATTATTAAGGTACTTTAACTTCAAACACCATATTTTATTCGACGTCTGAAAAACTAAAAAAAAAAACGAGAACAATTAAGAAATAATTGGATTGTTACTGTACAAATTGCGGCTTGTGTTTGCAACCGTCCGATAGAAAAGTCTAAAGAGTTAGTGTTTAGTCTTTAGTTTACACTTTACAGTGTAGTACTCATTTACTCCAAATTCAGGCATTTGTGTATGATTCCGAATAATTTTAACTTTTGCATAATCCTTATTTTTCTGACAACCACATCGATTTGACGTCTTTGGTCATACATAATTAACAACGTGCTTCTAACTTTAAATTTTTATAAGATGAAAACTCTGCCGCATTTGATACGTTTTTGGGAGCTAGCTAGGGGAAATGCAGCCATGTCCCTGATCACATTACCAATTTGACTTGTATAAATGTTTCAAATTGTATTTTTTAAAAGAGATAAATATTTGCATGTTTTCATTACCTTAAACAGTAATAAAAACTAGAGCAAGAGAGAGACGTGTCTTAAGAAATAATCTTTACATAAACCAGGCGAAAGGAGGAGTTTTATTGGACGGCTGTTTGCTACTTCTTGAATTCGATAGACAGTTGTAGCAGTTGTCTAATCAAAAAATCAATCTTGTCAACGAGTTCTTGCATGACAATGCGTGATGCGTCAACCAAAACTACACATCTTGTTCATCAAACATCCAACAATTTCAGCACCTTGATCGAAACTTGGAAAATATGGAAAAGACACACAGCAAGTAATGAGCATACCATCCCTAAAGAAAAAGATTGGGTCAAACATATCCAAAAAAGACTAGTAAACTTCAAGAATCCAAATAAATAAATATAAATGTAATGGACTAGTTAAAAGATAACAGAGGATTCGTGACAGAGAAGAAGGATTTGCTTTGCCTTGAAAGGATAACCTTTACCAAAAGGCTTTATTTTAAATAAATGGAAACAGTGGTCCGTGGAAGGATGTCATAGATCGTATGCATATTATAATGTAATTAGTATCTTCTAAAGAACACAGTAGTGTACATTTGTCTACATAATATATCTGATACGCAATGGATATGGTACGTTTTTTATAAAAACATGTTGAAAAAGACTAGTTGCAGTGTGAGCAGGTGCTATAATATAAAGTACGGAGCCCCACATACGACCATCATCACAACATATATCATCAACGGCTGAGGTTTGATCTTTTTTTGTTTTTGTTTTCGTGTATCCCAATCTTTAGGACACGGTTTAGGCCTTTCACGTCCACATATGTCACGATACAGTTATCTCTTCTCCGGTTCCTTCTTCCTCCTCGTCCCAGTCGTATCGCATGATAAGTAAACTGTAATTGTGACATTTTTTGCTTTTAGCAAACAGTTTGCGTTTCAGTCACTTTTTCTACATACATATTTGTCGGTTTGACTTTGACATTTAGATATGTACAGTGTACTTTTGTTGTTTTATTTTTTAATTTTCTATTTATGTTCTTTCATGGTAAGAGATGGATTTACATAAAAGGAAAATTTTTACTTGGATGTAATGGCAAAAGCTGTTTTAAGAAACGTATGAATTAATTTGCTTTATCAAAAAATAATGTATAAAATAATAATTTGACATTTGATTTTAATCATAGTGAGTTATAAAAAAAATTAGAGAGCTTATTTTGATATTTTCTCACACAATGAAAACAATAGTATTGTTGTTACTTGTTACTTTGTTAGCTAGTGACTTTTTAGTGTAGTGCCCGAATTTAAATGCTGCAAATCCCAAAAAAAAAAAGAAAAAAAATCAGAATTATTATTTTGATACCACCAAATAAATCTGATATAAAAATATTTTGGCCTTGTCCAAAAAAAGTAATAATAATATTTTGGCCAAGGAGGACTCACGCTAGCCCGAGGCTCATCATCCTGTTAAAAAGAAGAAAACAATATTTTCATAAAAAAAGAGTAATTCCAGAACCTGCATTATTTGGCCCTCCCTAATGTGTATATATATTAAATATTTTAATTAATGGTCCTCCCTCTCACCTACAGCAGACATAGAGAACCATTTTGGTTCTTTAAGGCACTATCCTTGAACAAGTAAAACAAACAATAAAAGATATAAAAAATTATATATCATAGGACAGAACCACACACAAATCCTATGGGAGATCTGATACATTGCTAAAGCTCAAAGTGTCAAACTATATATGGATCCTTATCAGAATCTTAATCCCAAAGGCTACCAGAGACAAAGACCGTTTAGCTCAGCCGGTGAAGGCGGCAGCAGCGGCGGCTCAGGTTTGCCTCATGATACAGATGACAATAAGAAGAAGAAGAAGCTTCTCCACCGCGACATCGAACGCCAAAGAAGACAAGAAATGGCTACGCTCTTCGCTGCTCTTCGTACTCACCTACCTCTCCAATACATCAAGGTTCATATATATATATATATATATATATATATATATATATATATATATATATATTCTTTTACTCACTTTTTGTAATTATCTCTCTCAAATTTTATTTATCTTTCTTTGTAGCTATTGTTCGAACAAGAAACCAAGATTTGGCTGTTAGGGTTATGAATATTTCCTTTTTGTATGTATCTAATTTTATTATATTATTTGTAGGGGAAAAGAGCTGTTTCGGATCATGTAAACGGAGCGGTGAATTTCATCAAGGACACGGAGACAAGGATTAAAGAACTCACTGCAAGAAGAGACGAGCTAAGTAGAGGAACGGGTCAGAGATATCTGTCGAATTCGGATCCAGCAAAAACTGGATCCGATTTGCCTAAACCGGATCCGGCGACTGTGATGGTGCAACCACACGTGAGCGGCTTAGAAGTGGTGGTGAGCAGCAGCTCCTCAGGTCCCGATGCTTTGAAACTCTCAAGAGTGCTTGAGACACTTCAAGAGAAAGGGCTTGAAGTCATCAGCTCACTCACGACAAGAGTCAATGAGAGGCTCATGCACACTATTCAAGTTGAGGTATGGTTACACAACATGACATGTCAATTGAAATTAAGTTTAGGGTTTCATTCTGCTTATAGTTTATATGAAAACAGGTTAATAGTTTCGGATGCATCGACTTAGCTTGGTTGCAGGAGAAGCTTGTTGAGGATTTGATACTTTCAACAGGGTAGTGATCAGAGACACTACATTCATAGTCGTAATTAAGACCCTTCATCGTATGATCTCTTTTACCCGAGCTCTTTCTTTCATTATATGAAGGTGTGGACTTTAGCTAAATAGGAACCCATTTCCAAATTATTTTCCCTTTTAGATTTGGTATTGAAGCTTGTTATAAATATGATAAAGAACAATAATACTTTTTGTACATATCATATGTTTATTGCTCCAATTGTTATTCTCTTATACTTTGTTCATGAGCTTATATATATACACTTAGAAATAATGTGAAAGTAATACATATATTAGACACAAGAATTTCACTTGTTTCTTGTTTGTCAATGGTACATAAAGATATGCAATGTTGGATATGCATGGTGTATTTAGGTATTTTGGTTCATGCATTTTACAACATAATATATATGACTGAATTATATATTACGTTGTTTTGGTTCATGCAATGTTGGATATGATATACTAAATTCTAATTGAAAAATATCACAATATTCTAAATGCAGGAAATATCTAAAGTCTTCTTGAAGTTTCATCTTGAGAGCAAGGAAGGTGCATAGGTTTTAAAGTTCATTCGTGGATTGAGGCGTACGTAGCTTTGGTTTAAACTAGTTCAAGTTCGTACGATGCTGTTATATTTCAAGCGGATTTTATGGGTGGGTATATAACTTCACCATCATTCACCGCCACGCACGCCGTTAAGACCAAGGGGTGTGATGTTTTCAGTAGACCATTTGTTTCTCACAAACAAGTTTTTTCCTTCTTCTTATAACATTTTTTGTTTTTTTCGTTGTTATGTCTTCCTGTATTATTTTAGTATGGAAACCAAGTTTCATATAACGCATATGCATGAATCATTAAGCAAGGGTAGAGCAAAATAAAGGCAAATACAATAAACCATGAATCATTAAGAAAGGGTAGAGCAAAATAAAGGCCAATAGTCCAAAACAATAACATAATATATCGCCAACTGTTTGAAGTTAAAGGTTTAATCGCCTAGTTCTAACCAGATAAGTATGTATGAAGATATATATTGAGTAAGAGGGAACCATGAATCTTTTGGGCTCTAATATTGGTCAAAATGAAGGTTATATCTTCGATATTTTATGTGAATTGTTTTGCACATATAACTGCACAATTTGAGAAGAAACATAACTGTTACAATTTCTAGGTCGACATACTGAGTTATGTCAAAGAGAGATACAATGTGAAGTAGTGATACTAACAGCGAGAGAATCCCAATCGTTTGGAATTTAATTAGAAAGTGACTAAAAGTTCCAAATAACTAACGATATTATAGTAATACTAGCTAGAAGAAAATAGAACATATGTTTTGATTGTAAGTTAATAACCCTAAGTCCCTAACACAGGACATACATACCAATGTGAAATGTCATCATCATTATTTTGGACTATATCCGCAAGTATATATCATCAGTATGTGCGTGTAAATTCATAAGCACAAATTTAGCCTATCTAGCTCACATCACCAAATGACATAGCAAATGTAAACTCAGAGGTCGAATTATAAGCGATTATTAATCACTTAATCATCAGGATGCTTTTCCTGACAAAGAAGAAGCATTTTAGAAAGACTGAATTCAATGCATAGAACCACCTTACCATTTTAGCATTTTCTAATGTTGACATTACTTTCTTATTCAAAACTTTAAGATATTCTTCTTTTTTTTTTTCGTTAAGATACTTTAGACGATTATCTAATATTCAATTGCAATATCTTATTTTCTTTTGTAATTCACGATACGACACAGTATTATACATATCCCCCAAAATCTTGGTTTCTTTTGCCTCGTCTTTTGACTCTTTTCCTACGTACCCTCATAAGTATATATATGAAGAGCAGAGTCACATTAATTTTATTCTAATAAGAACTCATTATTTTAGATCAAAGTTCCACTTTCATTTATTAATAAATCTCACGAACTTAAGCGAAGTTGACAGTAGTTCAAATGTTTCAAGCACTTACTTAAGAGATACGCATGATGAGTGGTTGAGATCTCCATAATATTCGTTTGTTATCTTTAGTTATATCATTATTGGTAATCAAATTAATTATCAACAAGGAGTCTTATTTTAGTATAAATCTGTGGTCGTCAAAAAAAAAAAAAGGAAAAGAAAAAGAGATGCCGTCCAACAAATCCATGATCATCACTCATCAGATCGGATTGTGTTCCAACATAAAAGATAGTCCCAGAAGATTTATCATTTTAATGAAAATATACTCGGAAATACTAATATTTAAAAGCCCATATTAATTATTTCCAACTATCTAGGCAAACTAATGACAATAATATTAAAAATTTAGACATCATTTCCATCTAATGTAAGTACAAAGTATCACACTATTTTTTTTTAACACTATAATGTTCATAACTGCGAGTCACGTTGTCCTTTTCTGCATTTTATCTACAACAAAATTAACAAAAATAAAATGGTTTTTTTTCCTTCTTTCAATTTAGATAATTTGACCTATAGTTTATAAATAGCCGGATCTAATGGCGAACTACATTATATCTATGTGTACACATTTTCTATCGTTTTACTTGCATGTATAAGATTTGACCAAACCTTATTGTATTTGTGTGCGTGTCCCTGTGGGGTTTAAGTTAGTCCCATATACTATATGATAGTGATTTCTGGCCAAACATATCATCATGTACACGATCATGTACTTCTCAATCAGTTGGTGTCATGTCCGAGAGATTCAGAAATGGAATGATCCGATTTTTTTCCTTCTTCTTTTTTAAATAAAATAATGATCCGATCTTATATGTGTTTCCATGCATAGTCAATAGATTATCAATTAAGGACGATTTCGTACCTACACAATCAATGATTTTGGGTGAGCAGTCGTCATATATTATGATTTCATTAAAAAAGGTTGTATAAGACAAGTACACATGTGAAAACATTCATACCTAACTAGTTTGCTATTACGTCTTTTTGTGTGTGTGTGTGTGTGTGTGTGTGTGTGTGTCAGTTTCCTATATGTATAATTATGTCAATGTTGAGTTGTAGGTTATCCTAAATCAAATTATATTTAAGTTTTCATGCTTGTATTATTCCAAAATAGTTGCATGTAATAGTTTAAGATACTGTACAGCATATGTTCAGAGAAAAATTAACGCAAAAAGATTTTACTTGAAGTCGAAGTTTCAACAAAATCGAAATTTAGAGGCAGGGAGAAGAAATCGAACATCCAAAATTTGCAGAAGTATAAAAAAGACATGATTTTCAGATGACACCAAAAGTATTATGGAAAAGAAAGATAATGCGTGGGCTACCTTATTAAAAAGATGGATTTTACCCATTAGTAGCCCACGTATAAAAAAGTTACGTCCCAAAAGATGTTAATGTAATGGATCGGTTCCACAGTAACTACATACATAGTTTTGTACTTTTGGATAATGTGTTCTAAGATTCATAGTGAATTAGCAAATTAACCTAACATGATATGAGAAATGGAAAAAGAAAAAAAAAAAGGTTTGTCAATTACATACATCTAGGTTTGTCAATTAGGACTAAAGCCCAAAATCCATGGAACCTATATTTCAATCCCCAAAAACTGGATTGTTAGGCGTAAGAGTAAGACCATTCGGACAGGGATTTTTCTCCTGGTTTAGCCCAAACTGAATGGTTTCTTAGACAAAGAATAAGGAAATCAGATCATATAAAATACTGATCTTATCGAAACGTGTCCTCACGAGTTCGACATGCAATTCATATAGAGCCACGCACTATTTTCTACACCAAACAGCAAAAACTTACTGATCTTATCTTGACATATCTTCACGAGTTCAACATGTAATTCACATAGAATTCTCATTAACATAAAACTGAATATCCTGTCATCGTCGACCAACATATAAAACAAACTTTAAAAGGTGAGAGTAAGACAAGAAGGTGGGGACTGGGGAGGGTGATCGCTGGTCAAGTATAATTAAGCAGTCGTCGACTACAAGTTCATTTCTAGTCATGTGGCCGGCCATCACCATTCACCAACCTAGGATCGCCGCTTTGACAAATATCCATTCGACCTTCTTTTAGGCATGCAGCTTTGATCTATGGTACTTCAAAACATCATAAATTTACATATTGTTGAATTGCCATAATTAGTTCACAAAATCATAACGTGGGTAGGTTTTTCATTAATTAGATGCCATTGTTTTAGGGGGCCAATATGGAGTACAAGTTCGTTGGTTTACTTGCAGCAAGTATACATGTCTCAGGTTGAAATCTGATCAGTACATGTTTTGGGAACAAAGGGACCACATTTTTCCTTTTCTGCTTCTAACCTAATAAATTCCATGTGTTCATAGTCTTTGTATTAGTTATCCGTAACGTTTCCTCAAACATGCTACTAGACCAATTCGTCCGATATATATAACCTTAGATGGATTAATTTTCTTAAATCTGTAAAATAATTGTGGGTGTAGTGACTGTAGTCATTAAGTTATGGTAGTAGCGGATCAGTTTTCAGAAATGAAATGCTAAGGTTGTTATTGCATCTTACCATATACATGATATTAAATATAAAAAACAAAAACAGAAAAAGATAAGTAACTAACAAGACGAGACATAGATATTGTTTTATTTCTTAGATGGGTTTGTTGGTGAGCCAATCTGAGAAGGCTTGGAGAGTGTTCATGTCTGCTCTATAGTGTTTCTGAGTGAATTCAAGGAACATAGACCATGTGAAGTCAGGGTATTTCCTTGATGTGATGCTGTCCAAAAGCTCCCTTGGTGGCTTCACTACTCTGTCTTTTTTGGGACACAAGAAGAATGCAAGTGATTTCCTCTCGCTCTCGCTGTTCACCACTGCCCTATGCAAGCAGCTCTTGTATCTATCGTTAGATAGAGCCTACAAAATGAGATCAATCCCGGTTTAGAGTATATCTCAACCAAAATATGTGTTTCTTTTTCTCTCTTTAGTGGGCTTACCATGAAAGTATCGCCGATATTGACGACAAAGGCTTTGGGATTGGGACGTATGGAGCGCCACTGATTTTCGACAAAGACTTGAAGGCCATTAACATGGTCTTGGTGAAGGATGGTAAGAGAAGTTGGATCACAATGAGGTCCTGTTCCTAATGTAAGATCTGGTTTCTGACATGGAGGGTAGTAATTCAGTCTCATTATCGAATCATTGTCTTCAAAAAACTCTCGAAAGTAGTCTCGGTTTACGCCTAAACTTAGCCCCAAAAGCTCCATGATCTTCAGTGACAGAGAACTCATTGCCTCGCAGTACTCTTGGTACACCTTCCTGCAATAAACCAGAAACCAACAATAACAATAAGTAGTCTTCTAAAGTCACGGTACAGTGGTCGGTATAGAAGAAACCGGTTATTGGTTTTGTTAAAACAAAACAGAGGAAAGGACAAAAGACATGTTAAATTATTTCATTTTTCTCTCTTTCTCTCTCTATCTTTTATTAGTTTATTGCTCTGTTTTAACTTTTACCCAAATGGCTCAAACTCATGTCCCAAGGCATCGCTGAAGTAATCTTGAACGGTTTTTGGGATTGTCTCGCCTTCGCAAAACCGGAAAGAGAGTGTCTCCTTCCATGGAAGCTTGGTGGAGAAGCGGCCGGTGAAACTGCTGGCGTAGCCACAACTCTCGCCGGGTTTTCTCAGAACCCTCTGTTTCTCGGAGAGAGGCATATCGAAGAAGCGGCTCATGTATACATGAGCGTCTGATATAAGCTCCTCGCTGATGCCGTGATTGACCACGAGGAAGAACCCGTGCTTCTTACATGCCTCAGAGATAAGCGTGGAGGCTTGTAAAGAGGCAGAGGAGGAAGATGG